AAAGTTGTTTTTAAAGTGGAAAATGTGTTCAAATGCATTAATTAATATATTTTGATGATGGAAATAATGGAAATGATAAATAATTTTCAGGATGAGGGTGGAATCTTTACTTTTGTAAAAGTTGTTTTAAGTGGAAAATGTGTTCAAATGCTTGAATTATAATATTTTGATGATGGAAATAATGGAAATGATAAAATAATTTTCAGGATGAGGTGGAATCTTTACTTTCGTAAAAGTTGTTTTAAATTGGAAAATGCGTTCAAATGCTTGAATTATAATATTTTGATGATGGAAATATGAAATAATGGAAATATAGTAAAATTCATTTTCAGGATAAGGTGGAATCCCTACTTTCGTAAAAGAAGTTGTTTTTAAAGTGGAAAATGTGTTCAAATGCTTGAATTATAATATTTTGATGATGGAAATAATGGAAATAATGGAAATATGGTAAAACTAAATTTCAGAATGAGGTGGAATCCCTACTTTCGTAAAAGTTGTTTTAAAACGGAAAATGATTTCAAATGCTTGAATTATAATATTTTGATTATGGAAATAATGAAAATAATGGAAATATGATAAAATTAGTTTTCAGGATGAGGTGTAATCCCTACTTTTGTAAAAGTTGTTTTTTAAGTGGAAAATTGTTGAAATGCATTAATTATGTATTATTCTATTATTTGTAAAATTCTTTTTGATGTGGAAAATTTGTTCAAATGCATGAATTATAGTCTCTTGATTAAAATATGGAAATATGATAAAATTCATTTTCAGGAAGGGGCTCTATTATTTATAAAATGATTTTTGATGTGGAAAATAAGTTTAAATGCATGAATTATAGTCTTTTGATTAAAATATGGAAATATGATAAAACTCATTTTCAGAATGGTTGGAATCACTGTTTTTGTAAAAGTTGTTTTTTAAATGGAAATTTGTTGAAATGCATTGATTATAATCTTTTAATGAAAATATGGAAATATGATAAATTCATTTTCAGAATGGTTGGAATCCTTGTTTTTGGAAAAGTTGTTTTTTAATTGGAAAATGTGTTGAAATGCATTAATTATAGTCTTTTGATAATGGAAATAATGAAAATAATGGAAATATGATAAAATTAATTTTCAGGATGAGGTGGAATCCCTACTTTCGTAAAAGTTGTTTTAAAGTGGAAAATGTGTTCAAATGCTTGAATTATAATATTTTGATGATGGAAATAATGGAAATAAAGGAAATATGATAAAATTCATTTTCAGGATGAGGTGGAATCCCTATTTTTTGTAAAATTGTTTTTAAATTGGAAAATATTTGAAATGCATTGTTAATCTTTTTAATGAAAATATGGAAATATAATAAAATTCATTTTCAGGGGGACCCTATTATTTGTAAAAGTTCTTTTTGATGTGGAAAATGTGTTAAATGCATGAATTATAATTTTTTGATGAAATATGGAAATAAGATAAATTCATTTTCAAAGGGTGGAACCTTACTTTTGTAAAAGTTGTTTTAAAGTGGAAAATGTGTTCAAATGCTTGAATTAATATAGTCTTTGGTGAAAATATGGAAATATGATAAAATTCATTTTCAGGATGAGTTGGAATCCTACTTTCGTAAAAGTTGTTTTAAAGTGGAAAATGTGTTCAAATGCTTGAATTATAATTTTATTGGAAATATGAAAATAATGGAAATATGATAAATTATTTTCAGGAGGGATGGAACTCCTATTTTTGTAAAAGTTGTTTTAAGAAAATGTGTTCAAATGCATTAATTATAGTCTTTTGATGAAAATATGGAAATATGATAAAATTCATTTTCAGGGGGGGACTCCTATTTTTGTAAAAGTTGTTTTAAAGTGGAAAATGTGTTCAAATGCATGAATTATAGTCTTTTGATTAAAAATATGGAAATATGATAAATTCATTTTCAGTGGTTGGAATCCCTGTTTTTGTAAAAGTTTTTTTAATGGAAAATGTGTTCAAATGCATGAATTATAGTTTTTGTGAAATATGAAAATATGATAAATTTATTTTCAGGGGGTGGACTTAATTTTTGTAAAAGTTGTTTTTGTGTGGAAAATGTGTTCAAATGCATTAATTATAGTCTTTGATGAAAATATGGAAATATTATAAAATTATTTTCAGGGGAATACCTATTTTTTGTAAAAGTTCTTTTAATGTGGAAAATGTGTTCAAATGCATGAATTATAATCTTTGATGAAATAATGGAATATGATTAAATTCATTTCAAGGGGTGGAATCCCTTTTGTAAAAGTTGTTTTAAGTGGAAAATGTGTTCAAATGCTTGAATTATAATATTTTGATGGAAATAATGAAATAATGGAAATTGATAAAATTAATTTTCAATGGTTGGAATCTATTTTTGTAAAAGTTGTTTTTAAGTGAAAATGTGTTCAAATGCACAATTATAGTCTTGATGAAATAATGGAAATAAGATTAAATTATTTTCAAGAGGTGGAACTACTTTGTAAAAGTTGTTAAAGTGGAAAATGTGTTCAAAGCTTGAAATAATATTGCGTTGATGAAATAACAAATAATGAAATATTATAAAATTATTTTCAGGATGAAATGAAACTTCCTAAAAGTCGCTTTCAATGTCGGAAAATGTCGTTCAGCTGAATGGAGAAATTTTGATGATGGAAATAATGGAAATGAAATATGCTAAATTAATTTTCAGGATGAGGTGCAACTATGACTTTTAAAACGAAAGTAAAAATGTAGTTGAAACATTAAGTATGATTTTTAATGAAAATATGAAATATGATAAAATTCTTTCTGTGTACTTATTAGTTTGTAAAAGTTCTTTTTGATGTGAAAATGCGTACAAAGCATCTGCGCAAACATCTCTTTTGACGTGACAACATGTTAATTAATGGCAATTCATTTTCAAATGCTTGAATCAATATTTTGCAAAAGTTGTTTTAAATAAAATCCGTTTGCCAGCAGTAATTAAGTCTCAATGACTTGAACGATACAGAAAGTGTTCGAAATTCCAGCAAAGTTTTTGCTATGTTTTGGAACTTAAGTTTCAAAAGTTTTTTTTTGAGTGGAAAATGTGTTAAATGCATTATTTTAGTTTTTGAAAATCATGGAAACGATAAAATTCATTTTCAGAACGGTTGGAATTCCGCGTAAAAGGTTTTAAATGGAAAATGTTTGAAATGCATTTTAATTAAGTTTTATCGTAAAAATATCGAAAATATTATAAATCATTCCTGTAAGCTCGTCCACCATTTCTTACGATGCCATCCAAAATATCATCGTTGCTGATGTACTTTTGAAACAAATCGCATTCCTCGTGATTTTATCCTCAAGTTCTTGTATATTACTGTTGACCATCAACGTCTGTTTCTCGAAGGCACTACAATATTAAATAATGCTGCTTTTATTTGCTGACATGGATTTTTAAAAGTTCAAAACTGTAAATGTTTTCATCATCTGCGACGTGAACGTCCATGAATAAAATAGAAATTCATTTTCAAAGGTCCCGTGTCCCCTCTCCTCTAGTTGCTTTCCCACCCTCCCTTTCCTTCTGCTTTCCAATAGTGTTCAATTCTCCTCGTAAATATACACAAACCTGTCTAGAAACTAGTGAAAATCTCGCAAAGTGATTGAGTTCCTTTTGAAAATGTTTGAAAATTCTTTTTGCATGTAAATGTTTCGAAATGCATTAGTCGAGTTTATATGAAAATAACAAACATTATAAATTTTAAATTCACCGTAAGACAAAATGAATTTTTTAAAGTTCTTTTTATAAAATGTTATGTTTCTTTATAGGCTTTAGGGAAAATAGGGAAAGATAAAATAAATTTTGATAAAGCTATTCGTATTTTTATAAACTTTCAATCTCACAGTTAATTTTAACACCTCAGAACATAACACATCCTCTCAGGTTCAAAGAAAAACATTTTAATTTTATATAAAGTGATCAATAGGCGTGGATACAACTCAAATTTCTAACATTCAAAATATGACCTGTGCAGGCCTCTGTTTAATATAAACAAGTCACATGTGCCTGTGAATGATTAAATAAATTAGGTAAAGATAGAGAGCAACATCAACTGAGGATATACTCCACAAACTTCGTTTGAAAAAAGCCTTTAAAACACGACGAATATGTAAACTGAAATAAAATTAGTAATGTTGTACTGAGGAGTCACTGGGGTGAAAAAGTACTCAATTATATTTAATATTCGGTAAAGAGTATAATTGTACAAGGAAACTGAACCCTTAAAACTTTTCAAAAGTATTAAACCTTTCTGACTTTGGAATTTTCGTCTGAATGTTTATTGACGTGTTTATTGCATTCATTGGCGAAGTAAATTGACCAATGAAAAACGACTCAATAAATGTTTGACATATGATATTAAAGAAAGTTTGGCTGTTTTCAAAATTATATCAATTCCTTTCTTTTTATATCAATTCCTCTCCAAAAAAAATGACTTAAATGTTAGTGACGTGACGGTATGCGCAAAAACTCTTTGAGACAATCACTATTTTCCATATTAAATATAACTCTGAAATTAAACACTTGAAAACACAGATGAAGTCAGACCAGCTAGGATGAATAATTTTACTAACTCAATACATTACCTTTTCTGAAGCAAAGACTATATCAGACAGTGCGATAAGGAAAGACCAAATCCAGCTGTTGGACCGTTTACCGAAGCGATCAAAGGTTTAGGACACGTGAGAAGAAGTCGTAGGTCGTATTTACTGCAAGTCTACACCACAATTTGAACAATCTGTACCTCTATGCAATTAACAGCATAAATGTGCCATTCAATAAACAAACCAAAATCAGTACCATCAATAAAACCATTGAGATTTTCACAAGAACAATAGAGATAAATCAAGAGGCATATAATCATTTATCACAAAACTTTTCTATTGTTGATGTTGGCTATAACCAAACTTTTTCCATCTTCTTTGTAGCTACTTCCTTTCTTTATATACGCAACTTTGAGCAAAGCAAAGGGACCACTTCAATACCCCAGTTCTATCATCACATAAAGAATGTTTAGTGCAGAGTTGATCTTCTGCGAGTATCAGTTGACCACCTTCAGGTGGGCTCATATAATAATGGGGCCCGTCATCATTATACGAACAAACAACTGACATCCACAAAGAATCCAAACTACAAAAAAACATTCTTGGCCATGAATCACCATGACACATGAACAATGAAAACTAGTAAGAGTAATTGAAGTGAATGACAGAGGTGGTAAAGGACTTTCACAACTCTATCCATGTGGGATCTACAATATGAGAAAATATGAAATAATGATATGCAAAGTAAAATTAATTTATCATGAAATCTCATGCATTTCTTTCATATTATATTACATTGACTCCCAAAGACTATAGTTCCTGCACTTAACACCAGGGTGCGAATTAACGGTGTGCAATGTGCAATTTGCACATCGTTTTGGCTAAAATGAAAATAATTGCACATCACTTTTTCAAACGATGTGCAAAAAAGTTTTTCATTAATTACTATCACATATATTGAAAAAAATGTTTTTAATATCTTAGGCCATGTAATTGGCCATGTTGACACAATGTCATCAAATTCAAAAACGTCGTCACTTTGAGACTGGAAAGTCTGTCAACAGTCGACATACTGGTTGACATACATGGTTCTTCTGACCATATACGGATGTAATTCATTTATAAATATTAATTTTTGCATTGCGCTGTTTTGTAGTTTGTGCATCATTACTTTTTTTGGCATCATAGCTATTTTGAGTGTTTTCGATAAAATCATGAGACATTTTCCTTCTGATTCCTAAAAAAACCTTTAAAATTTTCAAATTTGAAAAATAAGCCAAAGATTTTTGGGAGCGAAACCAAACTGGCAACCTTGATTAACCGTATTTTTTGCTTTTACGCATAGTTTGTAATATGACAAAAATATTTTTTGTTATAAGTAAGCATCAATAAAACATATTAGATAATCAGAAGACAAAAGTAGCTATATGCGGTGCATGTTTCTCTTGTCGCTTTTGTTTTTCTTGCCATGATGGCCTCTTCTTGTCGAAAGGTTGTACTAGCAAAATTAACACAGTAGAAAAATGGATAGAAACATTAAATGCCGACTGGCTTGAATACGAGAATTATGGCCAAGTGGTGAACTCACTGCGCTGTAAAGTTTGTGGAAACAAAGAGGACAGAATAACAAGCGCAAAAAATTTCTCTCGCACATTCATAACAGGATCAGCTGTTGTAAAGAAAACGCAGTGGTGAATCATATGAATTCTGAGTTGCCTTTCAAAAAGTATATCCCCATTTGCAAGCTCCTGGAGAAGGGAGGCGTTGATCTAGTTTAATCGTATCGAACAGACCGATCAGCCGCTGAGTTGTCAGATCACATTTCTGGGGTCATAAAAGGAAATCTTGATGAAGATTTAAAGGTATTTAAAGATATTTGTCAGTTTTGTGCGATGGCAGCACCGATACCAGTGTAAAATCACAATAATTATTTTACGTGTTATATGTGAATAAGAACGGTCATACTACTTGCTAATTGATGTCAGTTGAAACAGTTGAAAACGAAGATGCTTCAGGACTGAAGGAAGCTATGAACGAAGCTTTTGCCCGTTTTGGCATTACAAACTTTGAATCGAAACTAGCTGCAACTGGTCTAGATGGGGCAAGTTTTAATATGGGGAGAAATACTGGTTTAGAAGCTCGTCTAAAAGAAGTCGCTCCTTGGCTCACTGTCGTCCACTGCTTCAATCACCGTCTAGAATTTGCTGCTGCCGACGCATTCAATGCTACGTTTTTTGCACAAGTAGATGGAATAATGCGTCAACTGTTTTCTCTGTACCAGAAGTCACCGAAGAAACTGAGAGAGCTGAAAAAACTAGCTGAAGTGTATGGAGAAACTGTTTATAAGCCCATCAAAGCAAGTGGGACAAGGTGGATAGATCACAAAGTGCGCGCCACGAAGGTTTTCCTGGAGAACTACGGCATGTATATGCAGCATCTTGAACAGGTAAAATGGCTAATTTTCCAACTTTGCTGTTTTCCATCAAATTTGCATCGCCTCCTTAAATTTTCTAGAATAAAGTTTGCCTGTAATAACAGTAATAAGCATTTTATTAAATTATTTAATGTCATGTAATATGTTACTTTTGTTTCTTATGTAGGCCGCAACTACTTCACCTGATGCCCAAAAGCAGAAGATAAATGGATTCCTAGCTAAATGGAAAGACGCTCGTTTCCCAATGTATGCTTCTATCTTTGTGGACATTATTGGTCCTTTGCGTGTTTTGTCTCTTGGACTACAAACTGACGACAATGATCCAGTTAAAGCTTTAAGGAGAATCAAGGAATTTGACTGGACTATGGTCAAGCTTCAAGGTAGTACATTTGGCAAAGCTACTTTCGATAAATTTAGGAAGGATTGCAAACCTACTGGTGACGACAAGAACCAGATTTCGTATCAAGGTGTTGTGCTCACAAATTATCCCCGTGCACTAAATGGAGCTGCGGGACAACGACAAGAGTGGATAGATGCGATTATCCTCTGTTTGGGCAATCGCTTTAGTGATCTTCAAGAGACACCAGTTTACAAACACCTTTGTCCAATTATAGACACCCAGTCTTGGCCAGGTGAGGAAGTTAATTTGGTGAGCTATGGAGACGAATCGGTTACGCTACTTGTCGACCACTTCATTCAGCTTTGAAGCATAACGTATGGGATGTGTCGAACGATACGATGCTGACAGAAGAATGGAGTGGGCTTAAGTTGTTGATTTCAGAGACGTATGGCAGAGCTATACCATACTTAGATGTTTGGGCTGCCATTCTCTCTTCACCAGTTAGTAAGAAAAGTTTTAAACGTTCTTAACATTGTGGAACTGTTATTAATTACGCCCATCTCTAATGCTGTGGTTGAGCGAATGTTCTCAACAATGGCCAAAATAAAGCCACACCTACGTAACAGAATGTCAAGAGGAAGATTGGACAGTCAGCGAATTAGTGAGGAGGGTCCATCAGTGGATCCAGCTCCCGCAATAGAGCGGTGGTATGAACAAAAGAAACGAAGGATTGGATATGGAGGCCATGCTTACCCAGAGAAGCGAAAGAAGAAAGTCGATACGTTAGAGGCATCAAGCTGCAGCAAACATGCTTATTTTTCGGACCAAGACTCGTCAGAAAGTAACTAGTCGTGTACTATAACATGATAACTTGTAAAATGTATACGTTGATAAAATGTTAAAAATATTACGTTCTAAAATGTTAATTTAGTAAATAGTGCAGTATAATAATTAATGTAATATCATTTGATTATGCCTCTGGAGAAAAATTTTTGTCGAAAAAATTTGCACATCGTTTTTTCTCAACTAATTCGCACCCTGCTTAACACCATAAGACTAGAGTTCATGAACATAACTCCTGACTGTTATGGTCTATGCCCCTAAATCACAAATATTATAATGAATCCACCTAACTCACTAACACTATACTTCCTGCACCTAACTCATAAACACTATAATTCACACAATTAGCTTGCAAACACTATATTTCATGCACCTCACACTCAAAAACTAGAGTTTATGCACTAACTCCAAAGATTACATTTCACACACCTAAGTACCAATAATTAAATACAATAGATTTTTATGAGATGACTTTCATCACAATACCTTTTTTAAACGTATTCCTGACGCTAGCAAACGTGAAAATCAAGTTGTTGGTGAATATATCTGCTAAATATGATTGAAGAAAAACATCGAGCCAAGAATCATCTAAAGATATAGAAACATAACATAAACTTACCACATCGCTTTCATTAAAAATGGCTTCTTCACCAAACTTCAAGAAACGAATTGTGACCTTGCCGAAATATAAATAGCGTTATGTTGCAAAGGAAGCAAAACGAGAAATGTCCGACGTCAATATATCTCACATTCCAAATTTACTTTACACGTTTTTCTGCCAAAACTGCGAGTCGCTCTTTGTTGTCTTCACCTCATCAAGCAAACATTAATTATAATTTTGAAAACAGCAATTCTTGGTTTTCATGTGTGTCTCAAGGGAATAACAAACAAAGAAAGGGCATCCACCATGTCGCCTAAGAGCAAAGGGAATCCAATGATATTATTTTGTAAGAGTCCATCAGCATGACGCATATGAAAACCACCAATACTTTCCATAAACTAACAAATTCACAGTTTGAAAACGGATCGCTTTCTTCTATGCCAATTGCATGTTAAAAGTTCATTGCCAATGGCTGCTTCATCAAACTAAATATAAAAGTGTTATGTTCAAAGGAAGCAAAATGAGACATGTTGGAAGTCATTATCTCACAGTCCAAATTTACTTTAATTTATAGATATGATGCGAACTGTAGAGACGACGACACTTTTCACTTTATTATAAAACACATGTAATATAGACAAAAGAAACAGCCACCATGACGTTGCTGCAAAACTGCAACGTCAATTTAAATTTATTGCAAAACCAATCAATTCATATTCATTACACTAGTTTGAATTCATAAAAAATTTAAATTTTCGATCCGTGCCACGCCTTAACAGCTTTCTCTAATCTTCCAAGTTGACTTTTATTAAGCATTGATATGTGGTTAATCTCTTTTACCGCGAATTTTGTTGTGGATGGACAACTTTTCGCATTAGACAGAATATTTCACAATAAAAACCGTCTGTGAAAACTATACTTTTAAAATTGTAGTTGTTCATTCCCTTTTATGCAAGAGAAACCGCAAGTTATTAGTAGCCTTACAGATCTTCTTTCTCAATCAGTAAACCATAAATTTTCTTTTACTGCTCAAGAATCTTTTAAAACGGTGTGCGAACAGCAAGCAGTTTTAGATTATGTTTTAATTAAGCCATGAAAACCGCATGAAATCTTTGTGACGATCTATAAACATCTTCACACGTTTCTCAAGATCACATTCAGTTTCAGTTCAAAAATTTATATTTTTCTCGTTATTATAAAGCATCTTGTAAGTTGCGCTATTCATAACAGATTAGCTTTCCGCTAATAAATAAGTAATAATGAGCAAAGTACATACAACATGTGGCTTTCAGCTTCGTAAACATTATTCTTCGTTTGTGGCGTTGACAAAACTACAACGAGAATTTCTTGTTTTAAAGTAATATTATTACTCTATAAATCTATTTATTGAGGCTTAAATAATCGCAATGATTGTACTACCTTGAAGCAATTGAATGAAAATTGATGAGAGACTTGCGGCTTCTTGCGAGATGCGTCCCTTGCTGCAGAGTATTTGTCCTTTGTTGCATATTTAATGAACTGAACCAGCAGCCGGTGGAAATGTCGAAGAAAATCTTCCACCAATAATTAAATACAATAGATTTTATGAGATGACTTTTATCACAATATCTTTTAGACGTATTCCTGACGCTAGCAAACGTGAAAATCAAGTTGTTGGTGATTATATCTGCTAAATATGATTGAAGAAAACATCGAGCCAAGAATCATCTAAAGATATAGAAACATAACATAAACTTACCACATCGCTTTCAATTTCATTGATAATGGCTTCTTCACCAAAATTCAACGAACGAATTTTGACCTTGCCTAAATGTAAAAGGAGTAATGTTACAAAAGAAGCAAAACGAGAAATGTCCGACGTCAATATAACTCACATTCCAAATATACTTTCCACGTTTTCAGCGAAAGCCGCGTGTCGCTCTTTCTTGTCTTCATCTTATCAGGCGAACATTAATAATAGTTTTGAAAACAGCAATTCTTGGTTTTCATGTGTGTCTTAAGGGAATAACAAACAAAGAAAGGGCATCCACCAATAATTAAATACAATAGATTTTATGCTTTGCGTAACGAGGATTTCAATATTATAGTGAGACCATGCGTAGTGATGTCAGAAGCGCTTAGTTAAAAATGTTTTTCACATTATTGACGAAAATTATGTATATTAATGTGACGATACAAAAACTGACTTTGACCAAGCCAAAATGAAATTGACCTTTCGTCTTGAACGAAAACATTTCGGCCGTTATTTTGAGAACCAAAGAATGGGTCGAGGACGTTTGTTATATGAATTTTAAATTGACGGCATTCATGCTGTGATGATGAAAAGAGTTTTGAATTTAAACGAGGATGTTAAAGGAGGAGGTTAATGGTGTTAGGAGGATGTTAAACAAGAAACCAACTTTCGTCCAGCATCAATATGACAGGGTTAATTGAAAGTGGACTGGGACAGATAGTAGATGTGACGTCCTTTGCATAACCCATGATCTTTGGAAAGAGGTACGAACATTGAGCTCTATAATAACTGGAGGAAACGTCAACCAAATTACTATAAATTATTAGCGCGGCCGCGTGGTCAAAAACATGGCGGATTTTGGTTGTCAAAGTCAGCGGAAAGACGCGGGCTCATAAAATGAAATTTTTTTCGCCCACCCGGATTTGACAACCACAATTGCGATTATATAAAATTTCAATGCGAAGCACAAAACTTTAGAAATTTTATTTTTAAAACATGCTGCAAACTTGTTTGGTGTACGGATGCTGAAGTAATGCCAGAAAAGAAAACATTTCATGACACCGGTGAGCAACGTAAGATTGTTTACCATTTAAAGTGTTCAGTGTTTTGTTTTAAGTCAATACTTGAAGTGTGATGGTATATATTTTGTGAATGTTTTACTTCTAAGTTATAATTTAAGTTATGTATATCCAGTCTTATTTGTTCTTTACTTAATCGCTTGCTAGACGAGGCAAAGCAACCAATTCTTATCGAGATACGCATGTCTTAAAACTCCTTGTTTCAACTGACTTTACCTCCAAGAAATAGAGGATTTTTCATGATATTTTTCTGAAAACATGAAGCAAATATTAAGAACAGAGCTGTATTGAAATCAAATGCAGTGCAGGATTAATTAATGAACTTTTTGGTGCATGTCGTACAATAAAAAATACCTGTATTAAACAGCTAGCCTGGACAATTTGACAGATTATGAACAATCATGATGATGGTGTTTAAGGGTTTGCTTTATGCTAAAAGTTTTATAAATGCCATCGGGTGTTTCTGTAAGTGAATTGTTTGTTATAGTAAACAGGTTAGTACATCAAAATCAAGATAAAACTACTTTGTTCAATAATATGCCAAATTATGCTCCTACCTTGAAATATTTGCTCAAGAAAAGCTAATGATGACATGCATGAAACATTAAATATAGTACTGCATCATCTGTCAAAATCCATACGTTTTCAATTTCAGGTGATTAAAAATTCACATAAGATGCATTGGTTGCAATGAAGTTGAATGTGTAAGAAGCAAAATTGATGGCATAGAACTTTTATGTCTTTTGAAGAATTACGATATCATTTAAACGATATCATTTAGTAGCAATGTAGTAAAAGAAGTGATATCTGTCTTCAACATGAGACTTTTCTAATTATGTATAGTTTCTTTGTACAAAATACTATTTTAGAAAACTTGATTTTTAAGTCATTCACTGATATTTTTACCAAAAGACAAAAAGAAAAATTCAAAGGCATAATGTAAAATTCAAAAGTTTGTCAAGTTGTTTGAACCTAGAAAAAATTAGTATAGGTACTAGTAATTTGTAAGGACACAAGAGAAAATAGTGCAAGAAGGTTAGCATTTTGAGAATTAATATGTTCTTCTTGACATACATTACACAAGGCCATAATATTATAAATAATGACTGTACAATAACAATTATACAACATGCTAAAATCTTCACCTACATTATAATTATTTAAACAGGTTTGTCTTCATGCAGCAATAAGAAAAGTGTTATGTCAGAGAAACCAATGCACTTTAATTTAAGAAATCATATTTTCAATGGGAAATTAATGTAGTTCTGTTCAGTAGTAGATCCATGGTTGTCAATGACAATCCAGTTTCTAATATCTTGGCTCAAAACAGAACCAGCAACATGATTATAGAATTTCTGAATTTCGTTCTTTTGCTCTCCTAGTTCAAGATATTTTCTTCATAAGTTCTCAGTAGATTTATCAAAACATCATAATACCTTATAAGACACCCAGAATCAATCCTACCAAAAAAAACTAAAAAAAAATTTCATACCTACTTATAATATATTTCCAGTCGACTTAAGTCGTAGGGGTAAGCTAACTTTTCTAACTCCTTTTGGACGTTTTAACTAAGATTTACCCATCTATTCAGGAAAGACAGTTGCACCAAGCTGTTATCAAACAGTCAAAAACACAAGTATTTTGCATGGGATTATGCATTAAAGCTTAACAACACATTGAAAGTGTAAAGAATGCCGTTTGATATTTATTTCTTAGCTAAAGCATTACTTGAAAAATATACGTTATTTTACAGTAGATTTACCTCATTTAAATGTGTGTGTCTATTTCACAAAACCTGTAGCATTATTTTCAATATTTTATGCTTACGGTATCGTGGTTGTTTTCGCTGGTTGTCATTGATATAAGCAGTAATAGAGATCCGGATTCGGGAGGGAGCGAATGTTAAAATTTTTCTCAAAGTGGAAGTTTTGACAACCAAAATCTGCCATTACCGCCATGTTTTTGACCACGGGGTCCAGGCCCTTTTCCCTCCAGTTATTATAGAACTCAATGGGTACGAAGAGCAAGCTTCAGGACTTTGCCCTAACGTCATCACTGATCTGATAATAGACTGGATATAGCTTCTATAGGTAGCAAAAGTGAAGCCTAATTATATATTAGGCGTGGTGATTAAATTATCTCTGTAAAATAAAACGGAAATGAAAATAAGAATAAAGTGAGGAAGAAAGCTTAGTAAATTTGTCTTGTTCTAAAACAACAGTACCCTGCTAATGAAGTCACGGCAAAAGTAACATACAACGTCTAGATAATAAAAATGATAAAAGAAAGGTACAAAACGAATTTTTAAGCATCGAAACTCATTCTAGATCATAACTGCCTCTGAACTTGGAAAATGAGCTGTGAATTATCTTGCCTTCGCAACGATGGGGCAAATTCGATTCTTGCACGCGCAATTTTCAATTGAACACGAACGCCGATATTTTGTTTTATCCATGACAGATGTTTGAGATAAGTAAAAGGTCACGAAATGCCTTAAATATTCGAAAATCTATGTATATAAAAGTTATCCGCCATACATTTCTATAGAAATTTGTATCTCTTGTGGTACCCGGAAGTGCATTTTGCATATATAATTAGGCTTCACTTTTGCTACCTATAGAAGCTATATCAAGTCTATTATCAGATCAGTGAACGTCATAAAGGGTGTGTGAAATGTCGCAACATCAGAAGCATATACGATATCAATTAGACCAAGTATTGTCACAGATATTCCAACTGCTGGTCCATTGACTGCAGCCACGATGGGTTTTGGGAAGTCGATAAAAGTTGCAACAAATTCTCTAAAATTATGAAGGGAGACATGTTGATGAACTTTCATGTGAAACAGGTTAATCTTTGTTGCTTTTCACCTCAATATTTCTTTACTATCAGCAGCAAGTTTTTCTGGACCTTCAGGAGGAATGTTCATAAAGTTAGTGAGATCATTGCCACTACAGAAATATTTTCCAGCTCCTGTTATTAATGTCACAACCGAATTATCATCTCTTGCTTGCTTTAGTGCGACAATCAACTCATTGTACATCTGTCAATATATAAATTGAATTAGAATGACTGGCAATGGTTAAAATAATTGACTAGTTATACAGTGGTGGCCTATTGAATGGGTATGACTGGTAATGGTTAGAGATAAACCTTTGAATAAATGGCTGGTCATGGTTAGAAGAGGTGCTCTATTGAATGGTATGACTGGTAATGGTTAGAGACAAACCACTGAATAAATGGCTGGTTATGGTTAGAAAAGGTAGTCTATTGAATGGGTATGACTGGTAGTCTATTGAATGGGTATGAAAGGTAGTCTATTGAATGGGTATGACTGCACTCAGGCGAATGAGATGTTACTCGTTGGAAAAGAAACTGACTGCGGTCGAAGCTTGTAACTACGGTTTGGTAACAGAAGTTATTCCTCAAGCCGAAATTGAAAAGAAATTAACAACAGAATGAAATACATGGCTGCGTTGCCGCCGAAGGTAGCACAAATCTGGACTTTACCGTTATTGCTTCGTTTCATTTAACCATACAATGCTTCTCTCCATTGCAGTCGCTCTCATTGTCCAAGAAATTATGTTGCTCAGTTGAGCTGGAGAAACTTCACGATGTGAATAATAAAGAATGCGAAGTGCTTGCTCAAAAAGGAATTGTACAACGCAAATCACCTCCAGTTTGCCACCAAAGTGTTAAGCGTACAAAGCATCTTCTACTTGATGTCACGTGTGTTAATTAATGGAATGCGCTCTTCCGTTGCAGTCTTTATAAGTCCGATCGCAAGTATACCTGGATGGTAAGCCATTCCTGTAAGCTCGTCCACCATCTTCTTACGATGCCATGTTGCTGATGTACTTTTGAAACAAATCGCGTTCCTCGTGATTTTTATCCTCAAGTTCTTGTATATTACCGTTGACCATCAACGTCTGTTTCTCGAAGGCACTACAATATTAAATATGCTGCTTTACTATTTGCTGACATGGGATTTTTCAAAGTTCGAAACTGTAAATGTTTTCATCATCTTCGACGTGAACGTCCATGAATAACAATAGAAATCTATTGCATTTTCAAAGGTCCCGTGTCCTCTCTCTAGTTGCTAAGCTCCGCCCACCCCTTCCTCTCCTTTCCAATAGTGCCCAATCTCTCCCTCGTAAAATAGACACACAAACCTGTCTAGAAACTAGTGAAGATCTCGCCAAAAGTGAATTGAGCTCCTCCTCGAAATGTTTGAAAGATAAAATTTCTGCGACAATTCCGCGTTCCTTTGCCATGTCGCAGTCGAGTTTCGTGTTGCATAGAATAACAGACATTGCCTGATTTAAAGGAAATTCACCGTAAGACAAAATGAATTTTTTAAAGCATCTCGGTTCTTTATAAAACAACAATTATGTTTCACGATACACTTTTTTAAGGCGGGGGTAGGGATAGGGAGTAAAGCATTTTGGGAACTTAGATAAAGCTATTCGTAGTTTTAATTACTTTTCAATCTCACAGTTAATTTTAACACCTCAGAACATAACACATCCTCTCAGGTTCAAGAAAAGAAAACATTTTAATGTTTATATAAAGTGATCAATAGGCGTGGATACAACTCAAATACATAACATGGCAAAATATGACCTAGTGCCCAGGCCTCCGTTTAATATAAACAAGTCACGTGTACCTGTGAATGACCAAATAAATTAGGTACAGTTAGAGAGCAACATCCAACTGGAGGATGACCCAACTCCACAAACTTCGTTTGAAAAGTTGCCTTTAAAAAACACGACGAATATGTCAACTGAAATAAAAATTACGTAATGTTGTACTGAGGAGTCACTAGGAGTCACTAAGGAGTCACTAAGATCAGTTCTTACCAAACTGGAAACATTGGTCTATAAACAAGAAGAAGCGTTATGAATACGTTCCGCTTTCGCGCATGTATATTTACTTTTCATAATTGGAAAGGTCGTCGTTTAATTAGATTCGTGCTCAGTTACAATTGGTTTTTTCTATGAAATTAGATTGTCCCCCCGCTATATAATTTGAATTAGAATTTTAGCAAATTGTGAAGTTGTTTCAAAGTAGTTTGCCACCTACTTCGAACTGCTGAGCACAAAGTAATTTTGCTAACTCGCAATGACTGTTCATGCGTCTATTTCTATAATACTATAGTTCATGCGACTTAAACGATCTCATGACACCGTTGAAATAAATGAAATGGTAATCGAGTTCCATCGGTTCTAATCGCTAATAAAGCGCTCGCAAGAAAAATGTTTCGTTTGATCATAGTGTGTGTGTGTCATCGTGGGGTAACTTCATATGCTGAAAAGACAGTTAAATTTTCCATGCACCTAACTCCCAAAGACTATAGCTAATGTGTCTATTTCACAAAGACTTTAGTTCATGCACCTAAAGGCTATAAAATCTATATATATGTATATTGTTCGTGCATCTTAACAATATAGTTCATGTACCTAACTCCCAAAGACTATAGTTCACAAACTTAACTTTCAAAGAATATCTTTCACACACCCAACTTCAAAGACTAAACTCCCAAAATTCTTCTTCATGCACCTAAACTCGGAACGACTATAGTTCATACACCTAACTCCCAAAGACTATATTTCACGCACGTAACTCGCAAAGACTATAAGATCATGCGTCTATTTCCCAAAGAGTTTAGTTCATGCAACTAACACCAAAGAAAATAGTTAATGTATCTAATTACCAAAGACTATAGTTCATGCACCTTACTCCGAAGGACTATAGTTCATGAAAGAGCTCCCAAAGACTATAGTTCATGCACCTAACATCCAAAGACTATAGTTAAAGCACTTAAATTCCAAAACTTATATTTCACGCACCTAAATCTCAAAGATTGTTCATGCGTTTATTTCCCACTTATTGAACTCACTTGATTGGTGAATTGTATTTTCCCATGTTTTCAAAAACTTTCTTAAAGGTCGTACATTCCAATTCTTGTTCTTAATTCCAGGATCACATACATATGAACTATTGACCAGACAAAATCATGATATCTAATTACAATGTGACATCACTCTTCACATCCATACCATTAGACATAGCCAAACAACACAACTAGACAAATAAAATCCTAGACTTACTCAACCTTTGCCTCTCCACTGAATTCTTCTTCTAAAACTCATACTATAGACAACTTTCAGCGAATCAATGGGGTCACCACTATACACCTTCCTCGCAAAAGCTGTCGTGCAAAACCTCGAAACACAATCAGTCACCAACAGCACAGATGAAACAGACAGACTATGGAATAGATATAAAGACGATATCTTTGCCATAGTCAAGAAAGCCAAAACTGGACAAATGCTACACACCATAAAAATACTACAAAGAAGATAACCTTCACTAAAGACAAAAAAACACAACAAGACTAAACAAACAAGTATACGGCATAAATACCCTTACAGACCAAATACTTGATTTCAACCGTAATCATTCCACACAACACAAAATAAGCAACATTCGAACACTTTTCAACAGAATTAACACTCACTGCAGCACAGAAGAAGCCAAAAAACAGAACGCAACTACTTGTTCTCATTTATAAAAACTAGTTACCCTATAGAAACTTTATAGACGAAACTATAAGCAAAATCAGTCAGAACTTTACTACTAACGGACACCTCCCGAAAGCAGACACTGCTATTAGGTCCCTGCCAATACTCTTACTATTAACTTATTTACAACCTCTCATAAGCAGACACCAAAACAATCTTCAAACAATTCTGTAGTGTTTATGGTGTTTCGAAAGTTCACTTTAGGGGTGGTCATGGGAGAAAAATTTACATGAGTTTAATATTTACTGAGGAAATTACCATACACCAGCTATGGTCAAATGGCAATTTTGCACAAATTAACAAATATTCGTGGCAGAGATTGAATTTTTATATTTTCGTTGTTTCAAGAAATTTACATTGTTTTTGCTGGCATACGATAGAACATATTTCGCATACCTTCCTCCTAAACCCACTTTCCGTCATATTTTGCCGTTTAGTGTGCATTTCATAGCCGAATCTTATAACTTAGATATTTCATACAGGGACAATCCTTCACCATTGATAAGTGTCGTCGCTTTTGTGCTCGATAAATCCCGCTTCGAAAAAAATATAGATATGACGATATATTTTCGGATATTTTTGGGTTTTTTTTGTAGTGTTGTTCGCAATGATTCATAAATAGATCAAATTGAACCTTAGCCGACAATTACCCCGCACGTGTGATTGGGTCAAGATTGTCTGTCTAATACATTGTATACAGAACCATTTAAAAACCGCTATAAAGCTATTAAAACCAACAAAACACAATTAAAACTATGTATAATAACTATATATATCGTAACAACGAATATTTTCATATTTTTCGATATTTTCGGTACATCGATATATCGATATACCGAAAAACCAATATCGATAAACCGATATTTAAAACCCCGATATTTATCGATAATTCGATATGTCGCAACAGCCTACCTCGCAAGAGCCTTTATCGTCGTAAACATGCTTGGACTCATTCATGTTTTCAGTGGTTGACGAGTCCTCATCCAAAACTCTCGAGCGTATGCTAGGTGCTTCAACTACGTTCAATTTCATCAAGCTATCTTCAACCTGGCGTCGTTGTTTCTCTTCTGCCATGCTTGATTTTGTTTCAATGTTGGAAGTTTCATTTTCAAGCAGTTCTTCTACCTCGATCTACGAATTATAATATCTGTCATAAATATTAAAGCATGCAGACACAAAGTTATGAAGAGAAATAAAACATCTTTAACATTGTCACGGATATTACGAGGGGCATAACAAAGTGTTGATGAGTTTGACTAATTCTACGTTTATAAGAAACTTTTAAACAATTCTAACCCTAACCTTAACACTTACACTAACCATAATCTAACCCTGACCTAATCCATACCCTAACCATTGAACCAATGTATGAACTGTAGTCAATTGTAGTCACATTATAAAGCCTACTTCCTATTGTTTTTGGAGTTCAATGTGCATTCTAATCTTTCGTTTCAAATCCGCATTCTATTCTTGTAATCTTGTAGCCCATATTCTTGCAAGCATTTCTCAAATGGATATTCACAAATGGAGACTCGACAAGATATGTTAATTTTTTCACCAAACAAAAAATTTGTCACAGTCTGTTACGGGTCTTGCAGCTGACATATGAAATGTTTGTAAGTGTGGCAGGAAAATTACATTTATATAGCTACTCTTTGTTTTGCTATGTTAAGCATCACACAATAACAAGAAAACGAATGAGGAATTGGTCACATTTACCACTAAAAACAGTAAAATTCTAGAGCTCCAGTACGAATAGCAAATGACTGTCAAAACGAGGGACGATCTTGGCCCACTGCGATAATATTTTACCAAATGAATTCCACAAAACATGTCCATTTGGACATATTATACAAGTGCACATGTGTCAACTAACCCTGGTTTAACCAAGGTTTGCGTTAAATACGACGCTTTATATTTTTCATCGCTGTAGTATGAACTACTTTGTTGATAAATATATAGTAATTCTGCGAGTAAAATATCTTTACCTTCCTCTGCACAACAAAGTTTTTCTTGTATCAACGCACACAGCCTCCTACTAGCTCAAGAAACAAGCCAAAATATGAAAGAGAAGCGATCTCGTTTGAGTGAAAACTTGATGGTAAAAGTTGAAAAGTTGCTGATGGTTATCGCCATAAATTACCAATGGAAGAATTTACCACCACGATAAAATCAATATTACCACCACTGATAAAGTATTAGTGACCAATGCCGCCAGTTTGCCAGTGACCAGTGGCATGTACGCGTACCTATTTTTCTATAATTGCGACGCATCATGGGATTTACATTCAAATTTATTTTTGTGAGTAAATTCATTTTATCTTTACCATAAAAATGTTGTTTTACTTCAAAAATCTTCGCTTGTCAGACTTCGTGAGCTGACTAAATCTCGCAAGCGTTCGATCACGGCCATGACCGATTTTTCACCGAGTACTTTGTTGTCACGTGTTCTGACGTTGACCGTGTCTGAGACCGTCTCTTTTCACCAACAACTGTTTAAAAACAACATAAAACCATTTAACCAATCGCATTTAGTAATAAAATGAACATCTATTTTGCTTTTAAAATAGACAACACTTAAAAGACAATGAACACAAAACAAACAAACAAAACACAAACAACAAACAATCCAACAACAGCAAACGATAATACCTTACATTTTACAACTCGCACATCAACTGACTACCAAGAACAACGAGTACTGACAAGTGAGCATCACAATGCACAACATTACAAACAGCACTGACTATAGACAACGACTTACGTTAGAAAGTAGGTTAACAAACTCAAAACAAAAATCATTGAACAGAATACAAATATCAGCACCTTATAAACGGCTTACAAGCGAACAATTAATAAGTATACCACACAAACTAAAACATCCACATATTTTCCTCTCTGTCATGACGTCTAGAGAACAAATACGGCGAACCTGACTAATGTTGTGGAAACGTCAGTAAACTCTGAACACCAACAGTGGTTCCAAACCATTTTAATTTCTATTTATTTGTACAGTAAATAAAAATAATTTAAAAGACTTATTCATACCAAGAATGAAGTTGTACTGTGAAAGTTGTGCATTGCGAACTTTCTTATTTAGTGTTGATCCGTGATCCAAGTCTGTATCAACACGATAACCAGCTGCATGGAACTTCTTTTGAATCTAAACATGACCAAAATGTCAATAAAAAAAGGACAAAAATTCCAATTCATAAAATAGCAACAATTTGTCCATAGCTGAGTTTGCATTAGCCTGTGCAAGTTCGATCTAAGGCTTACCAAATTAAATTTACCGGTTCGGCATAATCATCATATTTACTACTGACAGGAATTACTACAACTTGATGGGGAGAAAGCCATAAAATCCTAGAAAATAACAGAAAATGCAGTGCGTCAAAATTTTGAAATAAAGTAAAGTAGAGTAAAATGATAAAAATTTCCAAACAATTAAGAAACTTTGTATCATTTTAATTTAACATTTAAGGACATTTCATTTGCTTTAAGCTCTGGCATGAGCCAAGAAAACACTCACCATTTTCCACCAAAGCTTTCAGCAAGAATAGCAATCATTTTTCAACTGAACCTACAATAGCTCGATGAATAATAACAGGATGTAATTTTATATCTCCTTCACCACTGTCAATAGAGTAATAGAATATTGATAAATTACTAAATTGTTACAATTTGTAAAGATCTACAATTTCATGGAAACTTAAACTGTGCCGTAATCCTCTGACTATAATACACAGGCTTACATATGTTTGTGAGCCATTATCAATGATATTTACATGGGGGGGATGGATGCACAGGGATACATGCATGGACTATTAACTATTATATTGCAATTATCTGATTGCAATATTAAATGTAACTATATACTTATATGGGTGGGTTTGTTTTGGCGAGTTTGAATGCAGGTGGGACTTTCAGTGTTCAGCAATGTAGCAGGCTGCATATAAGTATATAGTATATATAAGCATATAAATATATAACAATAGGTTTCTATAGAAACAAATAATCATGTCACTGTTGGTTAAATAAATTAAGTATCAAGACCGAGTGAGGTTATTCAACGAAAAGCTTACTGGCAAAACTTACCTAGCGTGAGGTTGAATCTCTCAGGAAGTTGGAAATCCAGTTCAATTGTTGCACATTGATGAGACCATCTCATAGCATCAAAAATTTTTATATTAATCTATAAATTGACAATGGTATATATCTGTAAACATAGAAAGCTTCATCCCCCATCCCCAGGATTTATCTGCCGTTTTTGACCAAAATTATTCAAAGCTTCCATCAGTTTCTAATGAAGCATAAGACAAACTCATTTAGTTAAACAATTAAAAATATTATCAATCATTAAACATTTTCGATATTTATGACAAGACAGCTAAAAAACATTGTAAAGACTGCATTTATGTTCGCTGTGAACAAATTTCCTCCCTTTTTGGGAGGTAAACAAACCAATCTGTATGTCAAATCAACAAATGAAAACATTCTATATTTTATTTCATTCTTGAATAACTGTCTATATCTTTGATATCCATAAAGAGGAATTGCACACGATGAAACAAATGTAACTTGATTAAATAGTTCATTGGTTTCAACCATTGAGTTGTAATGTTTGAAATGTTCAAGGTTAGAAGCCATCTTGATTTCAGCAAGCGGAGACTGAAACGAGTTAATATTTTAGTTGCAATATTAACAAATACTAAATAAAATCAATTACAAGAAAACAAAAACAATGATGAACCAAAATTGTTAAAGAACATATTTTAAGTAAAACGACTCATGCAAGGTAACTCAAATGTTCAACTTATGATGGTGAAAATATAAAAAACATGGAGATAAAATAAAGCATGACAATCAATAGATCTTCACTTAGGTAATAATAGCTGCAGATCCAAATTTATAAACAGTGTGTGAAGCACTGACTAAAACATTTTGGCAATCAAATGCACTTGAAAGCCCTGGCAGGTTAGCTAAAGTCCCTCGGTGCTACAAGTCTTGTGACTTTTACTACAAAATCTCCCTCGGCTTTCAAGTACATTTAATCACTAAGTTACCTCACTACCGTGCATCGTTTTACTTATAAAAATATTGCACACGCTAGCTAAAATGTAGATCCCATTAACTACATACATGTATGGTCTTATATGAGCCAGTTTTAAATACTCAAAGAATATTTAGGCAATCAGAGAGTAAAATATTTTACCTTACTCTGAACAAAACAGTTTTTCTTGTGAGTCTTTTATCGCAGGGATACGTCGGTATAAAATTCTTATCACCAAAATGTTTCAAATTCCAAATTGGTGAAGTGTTGACTGTGTAGTAAGCTGGTCGATACAACTCATACGCAACGCATCGATTTGCTGTTTAAAATCATGATAGAACTCATGCAGATAGATTGGTTTCACATAGCCAGAATAACAACCAATAACTGTTAGCTTCCAGAACAATTCAGTGAATTCACCACAAATGTCAGTCTGCTACGTGAAGATAGTTCTCTTGCATATGCCTCAAGTCTTTTTTTACGCTTCCGAATTGCATCCTTGAACGCCTTATTTTATACAGTTCAGCCAACATTTACCTATTCTTGCCATAAAATGATTAAGTGTGCTCCAAGTTGACTGAAAATAAAATTGTTCAGCATACGCCATTTTGAAAGCATGTCTATAATTATCCACTATCATCCATTGTAACCACTATCAACATCCTAATGTCATTGGTCAAAAATAGTCACATTTTTTATTTACTTTTGCCTTTCATTCATGTCATTTCTAGATATGAATTTTCTTATTCGTCCATAGTTCAATCAATAATAAAAAAATATTTATTGTAAATTTTATTATAGCAAATGAACGTGACGCCAAGAGTTTGTAAATTACATGCAATTTTTCGTCGTGGTATAGTGAACTATCTATCTCGACCTTATTTAAACCTGAACATTTTTTATAGTCGTTATATGCATCAATGCATAATTATAATCGTTTGATGAAAATATGGAAATATGATAAAATTCTTTTTTAAGGGGGGGTGACTCGATTTTTCTAAAAGTTCTTTTGGATGTGGAAAATGTGTTCAAATGCATGAATTATAGTCTTTTGGTAAAATAATGGAACTAAGATTAAATTCATTTTCAGGGGGGGTGGAATCCCTATTTCTATAAAAGTTCTTTTTGTTGTGGAAAATGTGTTCAAATGCATGAATTATAGTCTTTTGGTGAAAGTATGGAAATATTATAAAATTCATTTTCAGGGGGGGTGGACTCGATTATTTTGTCAAAGTTCTTTTTGATGTGGAAAATGTGTTCAAATACATGAATTATAGTCTTTGGTGAAATTATGGAAATATTATAAAATTCATTTTCAGGGGTGGAATCCTCATTTTCTAAAAGTTGTTTTTAAGTGGAAAATGTGTTGGAATGCATTAATTATAGTGTTTTCGTGAAAGGTCAATTTCATTTTGGCTTGGTCAAAGTCAGTTTTTGTATCGTCACATTAATATACATAATTTTCGTCGATAATATGAAAAAACATTTTTAACTAAGCGCTTCCGACATCACTACGCACGGTCTCATTATAATATTGAAATCCTCATTACCCAAAGCTGACCACGACACACTTTACGAGAACGGAATCGTAACCTTCAATGCAACAAGCCCCTAGCCAGCATATACTTACTAGAGAAAGCATGGTTTTTACGTATGTAAAATTGACGCTCAATATTGCAAAACATATTGAAAGGAAAGCCGAATAATAAATTATTATGGGAAAACTGAAAATGTTACCGATACATAGGTATTTTTGAAAATCATTGTCCGTTGCCTGGCCGTTATTTTGAGCCCTGTTCTTTTTGCTTAGTTAACTCAATTTTTAACAAGGTATTGTTATCTTAATGCAGTTAAGAGGTAAGGTATGATTGTCACACATTTCTTATTAATTTGCACTCAGGCGAATGAGATGTTACTCGTTGGAAAAGAAACTGACTGCGGTCGAAGCTTGTAACTACGGTTTGGTAACAGAAGTTATTCCTCAAGCCGAAATTGAAAAGAAATTAACAACAGAATGAAATACATGGCTGCGTTGCCGCCGAAGGTAGCACAAATCTGGACTTTACCGTTATTGCTTCGTTTCATTTAACCATACAATGCTTCTCTCCATTGCAGTCGCTCTCATTGTCCAAGAAATTATGTTGCTCAGTTGAGCTGGAGAAACTTCACGATGTGAATAATAAAGAATGCGAAGTGCTTGCTCAAAATGGCTCTCGGAGGAATGCGCGCAAGCAGTGATGACTTTTACAACGCAAATCAAAATGTAGTTGAAACATTAAGTTGATTCTTGTTTATGAAATGTTCGATGCATTTTCTTTCTGTGTATGTTATTCAGTTTGATAAAAACCATTTCCACCAAAGTGTTAAGCGTACAAAAGCATCTGCGCAAACATCTACTTGATGTCACGTGACAACATGTTAATTAATGACACTTATTTTAAACAACTGCATCAATTTTCAACAAATGCGCAAGAAAATAAGGTTATCGCGACTAAGAAGTCCGTTACGCCAGCAGTAAACACTGAAGTCTCAATGACTTGAACGATACAGAACGAGTGTTCGAAATTTTCCAGCAAAAGTTTTTGCTATGTTTTGGAACTTGATTCAAAACGCAATTTTTCCTCCAAAGTAAAGATTTTAAAATCGTGGTTAAATGAACGAATATGTTTTGTTATTCAACTCAAGTTACGAATGATTTACACCAACAACGCTACAAATTCCGCTGCGTAAAGGTTACAAACGGATCATTGGGGGACACAATATCCTATATGTACAACAAATATTTGCACGCGCTATAAGTCCGATCGCAAGTATACCTGGATGGTAAGCCATTCCTGTAAGCTCGTCCACCATCTTCTTACGATGCCATGTTGCTGATGTACTTTTGAAACAAATCGCGTTCCTCGTGATTTTTATCCTCAAGTTCTTGTATATTACCGTTGACCATCAACGTCTGTTTCTCGAAGGCACTACAATATTAAATATGCTGCTTTACTATTTGCTGACATGGGATTTTTCAAAGTTCGAAACTGTAAATGTTTTCATCATCTTCGACGTGAACGTCCATGAATAACAATAGAAATCTATTGCATTTTCAAAGGTCCCGTGTCCTCTCTCTAGTTGCTAAGCTCCCCCACCCTTCCTCTCCTTTCCAATAGTGCCCAATCTCTCCCTCGTAAAATAGACACACAAACCTGTCTAGAAACTAGTGAAGATCTCGCCAAAAGTGAATTGAGCTCCTCCTCGAAATGTTTGAAAGATAAAATTTCTGCGACAATTCCGCGTTCCTTTGCCATATCGCAGTCGAGTTTCGTGTTGCATAGAATAACAGACATTGCCTGATTTAAACGAAATTCACCGTAAGACAAAATGAATTTTTTTTAAAGCATCTCGGTTCTTTTATAAAAACAACAATTATGTTTCACGATACACTTTTTTTAAGGCGGGGGGGTAGGGATAGAGAGTAAAGCATTTTGGGGAACTTAGATAAAGCTAATCGTAGTTTTAATTACTTTTCAATCTCAAAGTTAATTTTTAACACCTCAGAACATAACAAATCATCTCAGGTTCAAGAAAATAAAACATTTTAATGTTTAAATAAAGTGATCAATAGGCGTGGATACAACTTAAATACATAACATGGCAAAATATGAACTAGTGCCCAGGCCTCCGTTTAATATAAACAAGTCACGTGTACCTGTGAATGACCAAATAAATTAGGTACAGTTAGAGAGCAACATCCAACTGGAGGATGACCCAACTCCACAAACTTTGTTTGAAAAGTTGCCTTTAAAAAACACGACGAATACGTCAACTGAAATAAAAATTACGTAATGTTGTACTGAGGAGTCACTAGGAGTCACTAAGGAGTCACTAAGATCAGTTCTTACCAAACTGGAAACATTGGTCTATAATCAAGAAGAAGCGTTATGAATACGTTCCGCTTTCGCGCATGTATATTTACTTTTCATAATTGGAAAGGTCGTCGTTTAATTAGATTCGTGCTCAGTTACAATTGGTTTTTTCTATGAAATTAGATTGTCCCCCCGCTATCTAATTTGAATTAGAATTTTAGCAAATTGTGAAGTTGTTTCAAAGTAGTTTGCCACCTACTTCGAACTGCTGAGCACAAAGTAATTTTGCTAACTCGCAATGACTGTTCATGCGTCTATTTCTATAATACTATAGTTCATGCGACTTAAACGATCTCATGACACCGTTGAAATAAATGAAATGGTAATCGAGTTCCATCGGTTCTAATCGCTAATAAAGCGCTCGCAAGAAAAATGTTTCGTTTGATCATAGTGTGTGTGTGTCATCGTGGGGTAACTTCATATGCTGAAAAGACAGTTAAATTTTCCATGCACCTAACTCCCAAAGACTATAGCTAATGTGTCTATTTCACAAAGACTTTAGTTCATGCACCTAAAGGCTATAAAATCTATATATATGTATATTGTTCGTGCATCTTAACAATATAGTTCATGTACCTAACTCCCAAAGACTATAGTTCACAAACTTAACTTTCAAAGAATATCTTTCACACACCCAACTTCAAAGACTAAACTCCCAAAATTCTTCTTCATGCACCTAAACTCGGAACGACTATAGTTCATACACCTAACTCCCAAAGACTATATTTCACGCACGTAACTCGCAAAGACTATAAGATCATGCGTCTATTTCCCAAAGAGTTTAGTTCATGCAACTAACACCAAAGAAAATAGTTAATGTATCTAATTACCAAAGACTATAGTTCATGCACCTTACTCCGAAGGACTATAGTTCATGAAAGAGCTCCCAAAGACTATAGTTCATGCACCTAACATCCAAAGACTATAGTTAAAGCACTTAAATTCCAAAACTTATATTTCACGCACCTAAATCTCAAAGATTGTTCATGCGTTTATTTCCCACTTATTGAACTCACTTGATTGGTGAATTGTATTTTCCCATGTTTTCAAAACTTTCTTAAAGGTCGTACATTCCAATTCTTGTTCTTAATTCCAGGATCACATACATATGAACTATTGACCAGACAAAATCATGATATCTAATTACAATGTGACATCACTCTTCACATCCATACCATTAGACATAGCCAAACAACACAACTAGACAAATAAAATCCTAGACTTACTCAACCTTTGCCTCTCCACTGAATTCTTCTTCTAAAACTCATACTATAGACAACTTTCAGCGAATCAATGGGGTCACCACTATACACCTTCCTCGCAAAAGCTGTCGTGCAAAACCTCGAAACACAATCAGTCACCAACAGCACAGATGAAACAGACAGACTATGGAATAGATATAAAGACGATATCTTTGCCATAGTCAAGAAAGCCAAAACTGGACAAATGCTACACACCATAAAAATACTACAAAGAAGATAACCTTCACTAAAGACAAAAAACACAACAAGACTAAACAAACAAGTATACGGCATAAATACCCTTACAGACCAAATACTTGATTTCAACCGTAATCATTCCACACAACACAAAATAAGCAACATTCGAACACTTTTCAACAGAATTAACACTCACTGCAGCACAGAAGAAGCCAAAAAACAGAACGCAACTACTTGTTCTCATTTATAAAAACTAGTTACCCTATAGAAACTTTATAGACGAAACTATAAGCAAAATCAGTCAGAACTTTACTACTAACGGACACCTCCCGAAAGCAGACACTGCTATTAGGTCCCTGCCAATACTCTTACTATTAACTTATTTACAACCTCTCATAAGCAGACACCAAAACAATCTTCAAACAATTCTGTAGTGTTTATGGTGTTTCGAAAGTTCACTTTTAGGGGTGGTCATGGGAGAAAAATTTACATGAGTTTAATATTTACTGAGGAAATTACCATACACCAGCTATGGTCAAATGGCAATTTTGCACAAATTAACAAATATTCGTGGCAGAGATTGAATTTTTATATTTTCGTTGTTTCAAGAAATTTACATTGTTTTGCTGGCATACGATAGAACATATTTCGCATACCTTCCTCCTAAACCCACTTTCCGTCATATTTTGCCGTTTAGTGTGCATTTCATAGCCGAATCTTATAACTTAGATATTTCATACAGGGACAATCCTTCACCATTGATAAGTGTCGTCGCTTTTGTGCTCGATAAATCCCGCTTCGAAAAAATATAGATATGACGATATATTTTCGGATATTTTGGGGTTTTTGTAGTGTTGTTCGCAATGATTCATAAATAGATCAAATTGAACCTTAGCCGACAATTACCCGCACGTGTGATTGGGTCAAGATTGTCTGTCTAATACATTGTATACAGAACCATTTAAAAACCGCTATAAAGCTATTAAAACCAACAAAACACAATTAAAAACTATGTATAATAACTATATATATCGTAACAACGAATATTTTCATATTTTTCGATATTTTCGGTACATCGATATATCGATATACCGAAAAACCAATATCGATAAACCGATATTTAAAACCCCGATATTTATCGATAATTCGATATGTCGCAACAGCCTACCTCGCAAGAGCCTTTATCGTCGTAAACATGCTTGGACTCATTCATGTTTTCAGTGGTTGACGAGTCCTCATCCAAAACTCTCGAGCGTATGCTAGGTGCTTCAACTACGTTCAATTTCATCAAGCTATCTTCAACCTGGCGTCGTTGTTTCTCTTCTGCCATGCTTGATTTTGTTTCAATGTTGGAAGTTTCATTTTCAAGCAGTTCTTCTACCTCGATCTACGAATTATAATATCTGTCATAAATATTAAAGCAGTTTGTTTATGTAGAAAATATGCAGACACAAAGTTATGAAGAGAAATAAAACATCTTTAACATTGTCACGGATATTACGAGGGGCATAACAAAGTGTTGATGAGTTTGACTAATTCTACGTTTATAAGAAACTTTTAAACAATTCTAACCCTAACCTTAACACTTACACTAACCATAATCTAACCCTGACCTAATCCATACCCTAACCATTGAACCAATGTATGAACTGTAGTCAATTGTAGTCACATTATAAAGCCTACTTCCTATTGTTTTTGGAGTTCAATGTGCATTCTAATCTTTCGTTTCAAATCCGCATTCTATTCTTGTAATCTTGTAGCCCATATTCTTGCAAGCATTTCTCAAATGGATATTCACAAATGGAGACTCGACAAGATATGCTAATTTAATTTTTTCACCAAACAAAAATTTGTCACAGTCTGTTACGGGTCTTGCAGCTGACATATGAAATGTTTGTAAGTGTGGCAGGAAAATTACATTTATATAGCTACTCTTTGTTTTGCTATGTTAAGCATCACACAATAACAAGAAAACGAATGAGGAATTGGTCACATTTACCACTAAAAACAGTAAAATTCTAGAGCTCCAGTACGAATAGCAAATGACTGTCAAAACGAGGGACGATCTTGGCCCACTGCGATAATATTTTACCAAATGAAGGGGAATTCCACAAAACATGTCCATTTGGACATATTATACAAGTGCACATGTGTCAACTAACCCTGGTTTAACCAAGGTTTGCGTTAAATACGACGCTTTATATTTTTCATCGCTGTAGTATGAACTACTTTGTTGATAAATATATAGTAATTCTGCGAGTAAAATATCTTTACCTTCCTCTGCACAACAAAGTTTTTCTTGTATCAACGCACACAGCCTCCTACTAGCTCAAGAAACAAGCCAAAATATGAAAGAGAAGCGATCTCGTTTGAGTGAAAACTTGATGGTAAAAGTTGAAAAGTTGCTGATGGTTATCGCCATAAATTACCAATGGAAGAATTTACCACCACGATAAAATCAATATTACCACCACTGATAAAGTATTAGTGACCAATGCCGCCAGTTTGCCAGTGACCAGTGGCATGTACGCGTACCTATTTTTCTATAATTGCGACGCATCATGGGATTTACATTCAAATTTATTTTTGTGAGTAAATTCATTTTATCTTTACCATAAAATGTTGTTTTACTTCAAAATCTTCGCTTGTCAGACTTCGTGAGCTGACTAAATCTCGCAAGCGTTCGATCACGGCCATGACCGATTTTTCACCGAGTACTTTGTTGTCACGTGTTCTGACGTTGACCGTGTCTGAGACCGTCTCTTTTCACCAACAACTGTTTAAAAACAACATAAAACCATTTAACCAATCGCATTTAGTAATAAAATGAACATCTATTTTGCTTTTAAAATAGACAACACTTAAAAGACAATGAACACAAAACAAACAAACAAAACACAAACAACAAACAATCCAACAACAGCAAACGATAATACCTTACATTTTACAACTCGCACATCAACTGACTACCAAGAACAACGAGTACTGACAAGTGAGCATCACAATGCACAACATTACAAACAGCACTGACTATAGACAACGACTTACGTTAGAAAGTAGGTTAACAAACTCAAAACAAAAATCATTGAACAGAATACAAATATCAGCACCTTATAAACGGCTTACAAGCGAACAATTAATAAGTATACCACACAAACTAAAACATCCACATATTTTCCTCTCTGTCATGACGTCTAGAGAACAAATACGGCGAACCTGACTAATGTTGTGGAAACGTCAGTAAACTCTGAACACCAACAGTGGTTCCAAACCATTTTAATTTCTATTTATTTGTACAGTAAATAAAAATAATTTAAAAGACTTATTCATACCAAGAATGAAGTTGTACTGTGAAAGTTGTGCATTGCGAACTTTCTTATTTAGTGTTGATCCGTGATCCAAGTCTGTATCAACACGATAACCAGCTGCATGGAACTTCTTTTGAATCTAAACATGACCAAAATGTCAATAAAAAAAGGACAAAAATTCCAATTCATAAAATAGCAACAATTTGTCCATAGCTGAGTTTGCATTAGCCTGTGCAAGTTCGATCTAAGGCTTACCAAATTAAATTTACCGGTTCGGCATAATCATCATATTTACTACTGACAGGAATTACTACAACTTGATGGGGAGAAAGCCATAAAATCCTAGAAAATAACAGAAAATGCAGTGCGTCAAAATTTTGAAATAAAGTAAAGTAGAGTAAAATGATAAAAATTTCCAAACAATTAAGAAACTTTGTATCATTTTAATTTAACATTTTAAGGACATTTCATTTGCTTTAAGCTCTGGCATGAGCCAAGAAAACACTCACCATTTTCCACCAAAGCTTTCAGCAAGAATAGCAATCATTTTTTCAACTGAACCTACAATAGCTCGATGAATAATAACAGGATGTAATTTTATATCTCCTTCACCACTGTCAATAGAGTAATAGAATATTGATAAATTACTAAATTGTTACAATTTGTAAAGATCTACAATTTCATGGAAACTTAAACTGTGCCGTAATCCTCTGACTATAATACACAGGCTTACATATGTTTGTGAGCCATTATCAATGATATTTACATGGGGGGGATGGATGCACAGGGATACATGCATGGACTATTAACTATTATATTGCAATTATCTGTTAACATTGCAATATTAAATGTAACTATATACTTATATGCGGGTGGGTTTGTTTATGGCGAGTTTGAATACAGGTGGGACTTTCAGTGTTCAGCAATGTAGCAGGCTGCATATAAGTATATAGTATATATAAGCATATAAATATATAACAATAGGTTTCTATAGAAACAAATAATCATGTCACTGTTGGTTAAATAAATTAAGTATCAAGACCGTAGTGAGGTTATTCAACGAAAAGCTTACTGGCAAAACTTACCTAGCGTGAGGTTGAATCTCTCAGGAAGTTGGAAATCCAGTTCAATTGTTGCACATTGATGAGACCATCTCATAGCATCAAAAATTTTTATATTAATCTATAAATTGTGATAGCAATGAAATTATAAATTCACAATGGTATACATCTGTAAACATAGAAAGCTTCATCCCCCATCCCCAGGATTTATCTGCCGTTTTGACCAAAATTATTCAAAGCTTCCATCAGTTTCTAATGAAGCATAAAACAAACTCATTTAGTTAAACAATTAAAAATATTATCAATCATTAAACATTTTCGATATTTATGACAAGACAGCTAAAAAACATTGTAAAGACTGCATTTATGTTCGCTGTGAACAAATTTCCTCCCTTTTTGGGAGGTAAACAAACCAATCTGTATGTCAAATCAACAAATGAAAACATTCTATATTTTATTTCATTCTTGAATAACTGTCTATATCTTTGATATCCATAAAGAGGAATTGCACACGATGAAACAAATGTAACTTGATTAAATAGTTCAATGGTTTCAACCATTGAGTTGTAATGTTTGAAATGTTCAAGGTTAGAAGCCATCTTGATTTCAGCAAGCGGAGACTGAAACGAGTTAATATTTTAGTTGCAATATTAACAAATACTAAATAAAATCAATTACAAGAAAACAAAACAATGATGAACCAAAATTGTTAAAGAACATATTTTAAGTAAAACGACTCATGCAAGGTAACTCAAATGTTCAACTTATGATGGTGAAAATATAAAAAACATGGAGATAAAATAAAGCATGACAATCAATAGATCTTCACTTAGGTAATAATAGCTGCAGATCCAAATTTATAAACAGTGTGTGAAGCACTGACTAAAACATTTTGGCAATCAAATGCACTTGAAAGCCCTGGCAGGTTAGCTAAAGTCCCTCGGTGCTACAAGTCTTGTGACTTTTACTACAAAATCTCCCTCGGCTTTCAAGTACATTTAATCACTAAGTTACCTCACTACCGTGCATCGTTTTACTTATAAAAATATTGCACACGCTAGCTAAAATGTAGATCCCATTAACTACATACATGTATGGTCTTATATGAGCCAGTTTTAAATACTCAAAGAATATTTAGGCAATCAGAGAGTAAAATATTTTTACCTTACTCTGAACAAAACAGTTTTTCTTGTGAGTCTTTTATCGCAGGGATACGTCGGTATAAAATTCTTATCACCAAAATGTTTCAAATTCCAAATTGGTGAAGTATAACGTCGATACAACTCATAAGAATTTGCTGTTTAAAATCAACCAATAATTGATTCAAATTCCAAAATTGTGTTAGTGTCTGACTTTGCATCCTTAGTTCAGATTTCCTATAAGTTCGCATACCATTTTGCCATTGTAATCCACTATATCCAACATCATTAATGTCATTGGTCAAAAATAGTCACATTTTTATTTACTTTTGCCTTTCATTCATGTCATTTCTAGATATGAATTTTCTTATTCGTCCATAGTTCAATCAATAATAAAAAAATATTTATTGTAAATTTTATTATAGCAAATGAACGTGACGCCAAGAGTTTGTAAATTACATGCAATTTTTCGTCGTGGTATAGTGAACTATCTATCTCGACCTTATTTAAACCCAGTGAACTCTACAACAACTGGAAGGCTAACTTGGACGCCATCTTTGAAGCCTGCATGAGCGCCGCCATTGAAGGTACGGAGGCGAAATACATCACTTCGAAATTGCCGAATTTTTTGCAAAAAACAGTGGTCTTCAAGCCAGCTTAATGTCTAAAATCTTAAACAATGTTTGGAGATTGTTTTTTATAATTTATTGTACGAACATTTTTACTTGCTAAAACTTACATATTACTTGAAGTCGTTTGAGAAGTTCCTTTCTCTTAAATTTATTCTTAAGTTTATCATACATTACATTACAGATGTAAATTTTTTTTTGGGTCTAAGGACATGAGAGTAGAAAACATTGAGGTGTAAAATAATCTCTAAACATGAAAGAAGATGCCGCTACTATACTGGGGAAATGCCAGTAAATTTGATGATCAATTTTCACATGTTTTATACTTGTTGCGAGGTATGTCATTTTGTACGTTTTATGTAAATTTTCGTGAATTAAAAATACTGTGAAAAGTCCCAAATGGATTGCCAGCTGATGAAAAATCATTTTACACCTTAATGATTTCTTCCTCTAAATTGTTTTCATCAGTTACCATGTTGGGGCAAAATTCCATACAGTGAAAAGAATTTCTGCTAATTTTATGCTTTGCTGAGCTTCGACACTCTCATGTACTCTCCCAACATGGCTTATATGACGTCAAAAGAAAACACACTATAGCTACGGTTGAATGAAAACAGCCCCAAACATCATTAAATATTTGTTAAAATTGCGTATATATTATTACGAAACAGCGATTTTGTGCACGTTATGATGACAAATTTCCATATTGCATTGAAAAGCGTATTTCGAAAACATTTATCAAACGCTGACACTTGCTGGCATGGTGACCATGTTTAATTTAAATACATATGCATATTTTAAGCTGACAGTCGTTTCAAAACTACCGATGGATGTTATTTATTCATCACGGCATAAATGCTTTTCAAACAACATTATTATTCTAAAATCATTACTTAATAGAAATTTGTACAACATTATTCCAAAATAGGTGGCAGGAGCCTACTTTGAAATACTTTACCACAAAATTCGTTTTCTAAGTCAGAGAGCGAGGGAACTCTCTGACTTAGTAAGAATACGCCGAATTCAACAGAGTATATATGCTCTCTCAAAATCCAAGATTTCTTAAAAATCTAAAAGATAGCCAAAGAACAAATTAGCGACACAATAAAACAAACACATAAACCTGAAAAAGACTGAAGTCACTAAGCTACAAGTCAGTGAAACAAATAAAAATTTTTATACCTCATCTTGTTTTCATCTTGTTCTCCATCAGCATGCTTCCCGTCTCTCCGTCAGCATCCTCTTCGTCGCTCCATCAGCATCCTCTTCGTCGCTCCATCAGCATCCTCTTCGTCGCTCCATCAGCATCCTCTTCGTTGCTTCATCAGCATCCACCTCGTAACGCCATCAGCATCCTCCTCGTAGCACCATCAGCATCCTCCTCGTAGCACCATCAGCATCCTCCTCGTAGCACCATCAGCATCCTCCTCGTAGCGCCATCAGCATCCTCCTCGTAGCGCCATCAGCATCCTCCTCGTAGGACCATCAGCATCCTCCTCGCAGGACCATCAGCATCCTCCTCGCAGGACCATCAGCATCCTCCTCGCAGGACCATCAGCATCCTCTTCGTAGCACCATCAGCATCCTCCTCGTAGCTCCGTCAGCATCTTCCTCGTCTCTCCGTCAGCATCCTCTTCTTTTCATCAGCCTCCTCCTCATCTAAACGAAAATCTAAAACAAGTTAAGATTAGGACAGGAAAAATAATAACGTACTCCTCTATCTTCTTCTTGATCTTCATCTCTTGTACCTAAAAAGACTGAAGAAGAAGTTATTTGTTTGATGGAAACAAACAATTGTAAGCACCCACCACTGCCAGAGTTCGCGTTCTTTCACTGTCCGTACGCTCGACATGTCTATAAAATGCAACAACAATATCATGGCAAGTGATTATGGAGATCGTGCTTTCGCATTGTAATAGTTTTATCATGCTAAAACATTGATATCCATGACTGTACATGATTGAACATGTATGTTAAGTGAACAACTCTTTGAAGATTATAAGACTCGCGGAAAGCTTATCGTTTGAACCGTGCATTGTGTTATAACACCCTCAATGTTATAACACATGCAGTGTTCTGTAACATTGTCAAACGATTTATTACATGCGATATAATTCAAAATACCTAGATAAAAACAAGATAATTAACGAATGTCTCATGCAATATATTCTCTGCTCAACTCTTTTCGATTTCATCCAAAGGTTGTTTAATTATTTCGGTAAGGCACTAAGGTTTATAAAGATTTTGCAACACTCTGCCCGCATGTTGCAATATCAAATGAATTAATTACCTCAATTATATATTACAGAATATACAATTCTGTAATATATAATTGAATTTTAAATTCCTCGTCTCTTCATGTGCATCCTTCTCGTCTCTTCATGTGCATCCTTCTCGTCTTTCCATCCATCCTCTCTTTCCATCTGCATCCTTCCATCTTTCCATCCTTTCATCTTCCATCTGCATCTTCCTTGTCTTTCCATCTGCATCCTTCTCGTCTTTCCATCTGCATCCTTCTTTCCATCTGCATCCTCCTCGTCCTTCCTCCATCCTCATCTTTCCATCTGCATCCTTCTCGTCTTTCCATCTGCATCCTTCTCGTCTTTCCATCTGCATCCTCCTCATCTTTCCATTTGCATCCTCCTTGTCTTTCTATCTGCATCCTTTCTCGCTTTTCCATCTGCATCCTTTCTCGTCTTTCCATCTGCATCCTTTCTCGTCTTTCCATCTGCAACCTCCTCGTCTTTCCATCTGCATCCTCCTCGTCTCTTCATCTGCATTCTCCTCTCTTCATCTGCATCCTGTCTTTCATCTGCATCCTCTCTTCATCTGCATCCTCCTCGTCTCTTCATCTCATCTCCTCATCTCTTCATCCTCATCGTCTCTTCATCCATCCTCTCTCTTCATCTGCATCCTCTATCCATCATCCTCTCCATCTGCATCCTCCTCGTCTCTTCATCTGCATCCTCCTCTCTCCATCCTCCTCTTCATATCCTCCTCTTCATCTGCATCCTTCTCCTCCCTTCATCGGCATCTTCGTCTTTTCATGTGCATCCTCCTCGTTTCTGCATTAGCATCCTCCTCATCTAAACGAAGTACCTAAAAATCAAGTTACGATTATGACAGGAAACAAGTAACATACTTCTCTATATCCTTCTTGATCCTCCTTGTCCGTTCTTGATCCTCCTTGTCCATTCATTTTCATCCTCCTCGTCCCTTCATCTGCATCCTCCTTTTCTCTTTATCTGCATCCTCGTCTTTCATCTGCATCCTCCTTTTCTCTTCATCTGCATCCTCGTCTCTTTTTCTGCATCCTTCTTGTCTCTCCGTCAGCATACTTCTCTACTTTTCATCAGCCTCCTCCTCATCTAAACGAAAAATCTAAAAACAAGTTAAGATAAGGACAGGAAAAATAATAACGTACTCCTCTATCTTCTTCCTGATCTTCATCTCTTGTACCTAAAAAAAGACTGAAGAAGGAGTTATTTAATGGAAACAAACAATTGTTTAGCACATACCACTGCCAGAGTTCGCGTTCTTTCACTGTCCGTACGCTCGACACTGTACATGACTGAACATGTATGTTAAGTGAACAACTCTTTGAAGATTATAAGACTCGCGGAAAGCTTATCGTTTGAACCGTGCATTGTGCTGTAACACCCCTCAATGTTATAACACATGCAGTGTTCTGTAACATTGTCAAACGATTTATTACATGCGATATAATTCAAAAATACCTAGATAAAAACAAGATAATTAACGAATGTCTCATGCAATATATTCTCTGCTCGATTTCATTGAAAAGGTTGTTTAATTATTACGGTAAGGTACGAAGGTTTATAAAACATCATCGCATTTGAAGATTCAGCAACATTTTGCCCCCATGTTGCAATATCTTGTATACTCTATAATATATATTTGAGGTAATTCATTTGAACGTTTCTCAAGTGAATTACCCACTTTTCTCACCTACTATAACATCACTTGATGCTACAGTAGTTCCTCTCAGGAGCAGGGACGGATTAACCAAAGGAAGCTGTCTAGAAGCCTCCACAAACAAGGGCCTTCACATTATTCAAAGGAAGAATAAACATAGTTGCTTTAAAGACGAAGGAAAAGCATTTAGTTTATTTGTTGGATCAATTTCAGCTGATGAAGAACAGACCACGTATGACAACGAATCACAGTAAACTCAGCCATTTTGCTCTGATGAGCATTGAGGACAATATTCTAACAGAAATAAACTTGGAAGAGCTTATCAAAGACTGCCAGAATAAAATCGCAATAACTACTTTATCTCAAGTAGCAGCATTCACTCGTCGTATGCAACCGCTTTACACGCTATATTCGAAGTTTATACTTTTATCAAATGCTTTACGAAATTTGAAAGTAAATTTTACTGTTGAAAAATGAGCAGCACATTGCGTTTAGAGTAAGGAAAGGGATCTTTACTACGTATTTTGCTGCTCAGAGCCTCCACACATCTTAATCCGGCCCTGCTCGGGAGACATAAAATATTATATCCTTTTGTCACAAAGACAAAGGATTGAACTACTATTTCTAACAATGGCCAGTTGTTAGAAATAGGCAAAATGCAAAATCATCACACTTATGTGAATGATAACGATGAATGCAAAAATGAAAATATTTTCTGGACATGTATTGAAGAGGTCCAATAATTGATGTCAAGAATAGTGGGAAACTTTTGGCAGTTTCGTTCGTGTTCTCACTTCAATATGTAACTGAAACTTGACGGCATTTTGTGCTCCAAGATCGAAACATAGAAATACTAAGAAACCAAAGAAATCGATCATTCCTTCGAACAAATAGGACTCATAACGATGCTTTGAATATGCTGTAACGAGAATTCACATCACAATTGGGTTATACATTTTAATTCATCGATCTCAAACTTACATCTTTATGTCATCGACGATTTTTCTGTATTTAACCTGCCGCTTTCAAACATGGCTAAAATATCTCAACCGTGTCATGTCTTCAGTTGCTCGTCCTTTCCAACAAGTAGTCGCATTTCTTGAAGGCTGTCTTCGACTTTCAACAGACTTTCACCTTTCCCAGACGAACAGCTCGGTCAAATAGGGTTATCGAAGTGAAAGACCCTACTTTTCTTCTGATAACTTTCATATATCACATGAATTAATTATTAATTCATTCGTCAATTTTGTTCAAACCATGATAAAAGGGATTAAATTCATTGATTGCATGAAAATATATGCAGGGCAAAGACAAAGGAATTAAGCCTGGTTATAAGTTAACTAACGACATTGGTTAGTAAAAGAAAGCAAAGCCTTTTCCCCAGAGGTTTGGAGAAAACAAAAGAATATTTCTTTTGTTTCCTCAATGAAGAGTTTGCGAAATCAATGATTGTAAGGTTATGACGGCAGACAGAGCATGTCGTGTTGTGGTAAATTTTATCTAGTATGAACAAAAAATTATCTCACCCAAAACCGCAATTCAATGCACCATAGCTAGGAGAGTTATCATTTTTCTCCCACCTGACCACCTTTATTCAACTTGTTACGTCAACAAATAAATTAGAAGGCATATCAAAAGCTTGTAATTTATTCACGTGGGAATCACCCACATGTTATAGAAAAGCTTTTGTCGTGCTCAATACTTATTATGAACATTGGAGCCCTGCTTATTGCAATAATATGACTTGCCATTGTAAAATGTAATGTAATAATTTAACGAGAGAATTTTATTGACAGAACTAAATGGTAGCAAGTGATTCATTTTAGCAATCCTAATAGGATGGGACAAAGGGAAAGAATGAGAGGTAAGTTCGTTTTCAAATAATTATCTTTAGCGATGTAACGATAGCAGGACTTTCAAATGCGGTAAATGTTTTGTGGGAAAAGCGCGATTGTTTCTTTTCCGTGGTTGTAATCCTTAAAATTACATTATTAACAGTAAAACTGAACAAATTGAAAGTTATCTTTTTCCTCTTATATTCCTTGTTCAACGAGTTCATTTCCTTGATCAAACCATGATGAAAATTTATCCAATCACATTTACATTAAAGTTTTTTAAACTTCAAGATTTCCCCACATTCATTTAGCTTAAATCCCGCATGATAAACGAATGATATCTCTAATCAAAGATGATCACGCAGTCTCCGATTTTTTAGGAATGAAAATAGGTTTTACGTTAATTGGTTTATGTTTGGCGTAAGGTGAAGCCGGTGATCCAACAATTAACACGTGATTACCCTTTAACCATAATCTCCACATGCTTTTATGAAATCCTCGAGCATCTAAGTCCCAGATTCGTAAACATCTCGCTATATTATTCCATGTTGTCCAGTCGTTAGCATGTTTCATTTCAATATAAAATATATATGTTTTATCAGATGTTTCTGGAACAAAGTCTTTCTCGTTCTTGCAAGGATTTTTACTGTGATCCAACGGCTCTGCCAACCTGTAAAAAACAGTAGATAGACATCTCAACAATCAAATGACATAAATATACGCACTATGATGATAATTAGATCACTGAATCACTAAGTAGAAATCTCCTTCATTGTCCTGTGAAAAGAAAAATATTGTTGTCAATATTTTATAAAATCCTGCAAGACATACCCTACAAGCCGTTCAATCTCCTTCTCATAATTTTCTTTTTTCAACAATCCAACATTAAACTTAACGTTAGGTTCAGTATTCAACGTATGTTTTTTGAAATAGGATTCTTGAAAAAATACATTCATATTCAGGCCTTTGGCGCCAAAATGGTAGGTTCTTGAGATATCCGGAATGATACATTCACGTCCCTTTTGTTGCTGTCCATCCTCATCCACATATCCCAATCCCAAAGAGATCAGGGTTGGCCATTTTGGCTCAAGTTCTTCTTTATAAAGTCGTCGTTTGAGCAACCTGTTAATGCAAAGAGAAATAATAGATAGAATGAAGTTTATACTATCTATACATTTATAGTGCTGCGTGATGTCATTGTGGCGTGATGTCATTGCAGCGTGAGGTCATTGTAGCGTGATGTCATTGCAGCGTGATGCGCTTGTAGTGTGATGTCATTGTAGCATGACGTCACTGTTGCGTGATGTCATAGCGTAAACAAAATCATTTGTAGTAATAAAATTCTCACCAGCCTAAACCAGGCATTGTTTCTACACGATATAACATTGCAGGATCATTACGTGTGATCATAACCCTAAAATAGAAATACTTGTTTTGCAATTAAATCATTAATCACATAAATTAGTTTTCAATGGATGTACCATTTCTAAGGTAAATTTCCTAAATTTCACTTTGTGATGTGCAAGGAAGGAAGCTCGATAAAGACAAACATAATGTAACCAATGAAAACTACAATAAGATAACAGATTCTTGTACGGAGATTTCCATTTTTCACTTGCTACCATTTAGTTCTGTCAATAAAATTCTCTCGTTAAATTATTACATTACATTTTACAATGGCAAGTCATATTATTGCAATAAGCAGGGCTCCAATGTTCATAATAAGTATTGAGCACGACAAAAGCTTTTCTATAACATGTGGGTGATTCCCACGTGAATAAATTACAAGCTTTTTATATGCCTTCTAATTTATTTGTTGACGTAACAAGTTGAATAAAGGTGGTCAGGTGGGAGAAAAATGATAACTCTCCTAGCTATGGTGCATTGAATTGCGGTTTTGGGTGAGATAATTTTTTGTTCATACTAGATAAAATTTACCACAACACGACATGCTCTGTCTGCCGTCATAACCTTACAATCATTGATTTCGCAAACTCTTCATTGAGGAAACAAAAGAAATATTCTTTTGTTTTCTCCAAACCTCTGGGGAAAAGGCTTTGCTTTCTTTACTAACCAATGTCGTTAGTTAACTTATAACCAGGCTTAATTCCTTTTGTCTTAGCCCTGCATATATTTTCATGCAATCAATGAATTTAATCCCTTTTTATCAGGGTTTCAACAAAATTGACGAATGAATTAATAATTAATTCATGTGATATATGAAAGTTATCAGAAGAAAAGGTAGGGTCTTTCACTTCGATAACCCTATTTGACCGAGCTGTTCGTCTGGGAAAGGTGAAAGTCTGTTAAAAGTCGAAGACAGCCTTCAAGAAATGCGACTACTTGTTGGAAAGGACGAGCAACTGAAGACATGACACGGTTGAGATATTTTAGCCATGTTTGAAAGCGGCAGGTTAAATACAGAAAAATCGTCGATGACATAAAGATGTAAGTTTGAGATCGATGAATTAAAATGTATAACCCAATTGTAATGTGAATTCTCGTTACAGCATATTCAAAGCATCGTTATGAGTCCTATTTGTTCGAAGGAATAATCGATTTCTTTGGTTTCTTAGTATTTCTATGTTTCGATCTTGGAGCACAAAAATGCCGTCAAGTTTCAGTTACATATTGAAGTGAGAACACGAACGAAACTGCCAAAAGTTTCCCACTATTCTTGACATCAATTATTGCACCTCTTCAATACATGTCCAGAAAATATTTTCATTTTTGCATTCATCGTTATCATTCACATAAGTGTGATGATTTTGCATTTGCCTATTTCTAACAACTGGCCATTGTTAGAAATAGCAAGTTCAATCCTTTGTCTTTGTGACAAAAGGATATAATATTATGTCTCCCGAGCAGGCCGGATTAAGATGTGGAGGCTCTGAGCAGCAAAATACGTAGTAAAGATCCCCTTTCCCTTACTCTAAACGCAATGTGCTGCTCATTTTCAACAGTAAAATTTTTTCAAATTTCGTAAAGCATTTGATAAAAGTATAAACTTCGAATATAGCGTGTAAAGCGGTTGCATACGACGAGTGAATGCTGCTACTTGAGATAAAGTAGTTATTGCGATTTTATTCTGGCAGTCTTTGATAAGCTCTTCCAAGTTTATTTCTGTTAGAATATTGTCCTCAATGCTCATCAGAGCAAAATGGCTGAGTTTACTGTGATTCGTTGTCATACGTGGTCTGTTCTTCATCAGCTGAAATTGATCTAACAAATAAACTAAATGCTTTTCCTTCGTCTTTAAAGCAACTATGTTTATTCTTCCTTTGAATAATGTGAAGGCCCTTGTTTGTGGAGGCTTCTAGACAGCTTCCTTTGGTTAATCCGTCCCTGCTCCTGAGAGGAACTACTGTAGCATCAAGTGATGTTATAGTAGGTGAGATAAAAGTGGGTAATTCACTTGAGAAACGTTTAAATGAATTACCTCAAATATATATTATAGAGTATACAAGATATTGCAACATGGGGGCAAAATGTTGCTGAATCTTCAAATGCGATGATGTTTTATAAACCTTCGTACCTTACCGTAATAATTAAACAACCTTTTCAATGAAATCGAGCAGAGAATATATTGCATGAGACATTCGTTAATTATCTTGTTTTTATCTAGGTATTTTTGAATTATATCGCATGTAATAAATCGTTTGACAATGTCACAGAACACTGCATGTGTTATAACATTGAGGGTGTTACAGCACAATGCACGGTTCAAACGATAAGCTTTCCGCGAGTCTTATAATCTTCAAAGAGTTGTTCACTTAACATACATGTTCAGTCATGTACAGTGTCGAGCGTACGGACAGTGAAAGAACGCGAACTCTGGCAGTGGTATGTGCTAAACAATTGTTTGTTTCCATTAAATAACTCCTTCTTCAGTCTTTTTTTAGGTACAAGAGATGAAGATCAGGAAGAAGATAGAGGAGTACGTTATTATTTTCCTGTCTTATAGTTTTAGATTTTCGTTTAGATGAGGAGGAGGCTGATGAAAAGAGTAGAAGTATGCTGACAGAGAAGGATGCAGATGAAGAGAAGGATGCAGATGAAAGGAGGATAAATGAGAATCTGAATAAAAAGGAACGAAGGACATGAATGAACGGAAGGATCAATGGACAAAGGAGGATGGTCAAAAAAATTTCCATTTCGTTTAGATTCAAATTAAGATGAGGAGGATGCCATAAGAAGGATATAAGGAAGATGAAAGGAAAGATCGAGGAGGATAAAGGAGATGCAGATGAAAGAGGATGAGATGATCGTAGAAGATAGATAAGGATCGATCGGGAAGGATGAAGTAAGGAGGATCAGATGAAGAGAACGAGGAGATGAATGACAAAGGATGCAGATGAAGAGATCGAGATATGCAGATGAAGAGACGAGGAGAATGCAGATGAAGAGATGAGGAGGATGCAGATGGAAAGACGAGGAGGTTTCAGATAGAAAGACGAGAAAGGATGCAGATGGAAAGACGAGAAAGGATGCAGATGGAAAAGCGAGAAAGGATGCAGATAGAAAGACAAGGAGGAAACAATTAAAAATATTATCAATCATTAAACATTTTCGATATTTATGACAAGACAGCTAAAAAACATTGTAAAGACTGCATTTATGTTCGCTGTGAACAAATTTCCTCTATTTTGGGAGGTAAACAAACCAATCAAATCAACAAATGAAAACTATATTTTATTTCATTCTTTGATAGAAATTGCACACGATGAAACAAATGTAACTTCATTAAATAGTTCAATGGTTTCAACCATTGAGTTGTAATGTTTGAAATGTTCAAGGTTAGAAGCCATCTTGATTTCAGCAAGCGGAGACTGAAACGAGTTAATATTTTAGTTGCAATATTAACAAATACTAAATAAAATCAATTACAAGAAAACAAAAACAATGATGAACCAAAATTGTTAAAGAACATATTTTAAGTAAAAACGACTCATGCAAGGTAACTCAAATGTTCAACTTATGATGGTGAAAATATAAAAAAAAACATGGAGATAAAATAAAGCATGACAATCAATAGATCTTCACTTCGGTAATAATAGCTGCAGATCCAAATTTATAAACAGTGTGTGAAGCACTGACTATAACATTTTGGCAATCAAATGCACTTGAAAGCCCTGGCAGGTTAGCTAAAGTCCCTCGGTGCTACAAGTCTTGTGACTTTTACTACAAAATCTCCCTCGGCTTTCAAGTACATTTAATTACTAAGTTACCTCACTACCGTGCATCGTTTTGCTTATAAAAATATTGCACACGCTAGCTAAAATGTAGATCCCATTAACTACATACATGTATGGTCTTATATGAGCCAGTTTTAAATACTCAAAGAATATTTAGGCAGAGAGTAAAATATTTTTACCTTACTCTGAACAAAACAGTTTTTCTTGTGAGTCTTTTTATCGCAGGGATACGTCGGTATAAAATTCTTATCACCAAAATGGTTCAAATTCCAAATTGGTGTTGTGTTGACTGTGTAGTAAGCTGGTCGATACAACTCATACGCAACGCATCGATTTGCTGTTTAAAATTATGATAGAACTCATGCAGATAGATTGGTTTCACATAGCCAGAATAACAACCAATAACTGTTAGCTTCCAGAACAATTCAGTGAATTCACCACAAATGTCAGTCTGCTACGTGAAGATAGTTCTCTTGCATATGCCTCAAGTCTTTTTTTACGCTTCCGAATTGCATCCTTGAACGCCTTATTTTATACAGTTCAGCCAACATTTACCTATTCTTGCCATAAAATGATTAGTGTCCAAGTTGACTGAAAATAAAATTGTTCAGCATACGCCATTTTGAAAGCATGTCTATAATTATCCACTATCATCCATTGTAACCACTATCAACATCATAATGTCATTGGTCAAAATAGTCACATTTTTTATTTACTTTTGCCTTTCATTCATGTCATTTCTAGATATGAATTTTCTTATTCGTCCATAGTTCAATCAATAATAAAAAATATTTATTGTAAATTTTATTATAGCAAATGAACGTGACGCCAAAGTTTGTAAATTACATGCAATTTTTCGTCGTGGTATAGTGAACTATCTATCTCGACCTTATTTAAACCCAGTGAACTCTACAACAACTGGAAGGCTAACTTGGACGCCATCTTTGAAGCCTGCATGAGCGCCGCCATTGAAGGTACGGAGGCGAAATACATCACTTCGAAATTGCCGAATTTTTTGCAAAAAACAGTGGTCTTCAAGCCAGCTTAATGTCTAAAAATCTTAAACAATGTTTGGAGATTGTTTTTTATACTTTATTGTACGAACATTTTACTTGCTAAAACTTACATATTACTTGAAGTCGTTTGAGAAGTTCCTTTCTCTTAAATTTATTCTTAAGTTTATCATACATTACATTACAGATGTAAATTTTTGGGTCTAAGGACATGAGAGTAGAAAACATTGAGGTGTAAAATAATCTCTAAACATGAAAGAAGATGCCGCTACTATACTGGGAAATGCCAATGAATTTGATGATCAATTTTCACATGTTTTATACTTGTTGAGAGGTATGTCATTTTGTACGTTTTATGTAAATTTTCGTGAATTAAAATACTGTGAAAAGTCCCAAATGGATTGCCAGCTGATGAAAATATCATTTTACACCTTAATGATTTCTTCCTCTAAATTGTTTTCATCAGTTACCATGTTGGGCAAAATTCCATACAGTGAAAAGAATTTCTGCTAATTTTATGCTTTGCTGAGCTTCGACACTCTCATGTACTCTCCCAACATGGCTTATATGACGTCAAAAGAAAACACACTACAGCTACGGTTGAATGAAAACAGCCCCAAACATCATTAAATATTTGTTAAAATTGCGTATATATTATTACGAAACAGCGATTTTGTGCACGTTATGATGACAAATTTCCATATTGCATTGAAAAGCGTATTTCGAAAACATTTATCAAACGCTGACACTTGCTGGCATGGTGACCATGTTTAATTTAAATACATATGCATATTTTAAGCTGACAGTCGTTTCAAAACTACCGATGGATGTTATTTATTCATCACGGCATAAATGCTTTTCAAACAACATTATTATTCTAAAATCATTACTTAATAGAAATTTGTACAACATTATTCCAAAATAGGTGGCAGGAGCCTACTTTGAAATACTTTACCACAAAATTCGTTTTCTAAGTCAGAGAGCAGGGAACTCTCTGACTTAGTAAGAATACGCCGAATTCAACAGAGTATATATGCTCTCTCAAAATCCAAGATTTCTTAAAATCTAAAAGATAGCCAAAGAACAAATTAGCGACACACTAAAAACAAACACATAAACCTGAAAAAAGACTGAAGTCACTAAGCTACAAGTCAGTGAAACAAATAAAAAAATTTTTATACCTCATCTTGTTTTTCATCTTGTTCTCCATCAGCATGCTTCCCGTCTCTCCGTCAGCATCCTCTTCGTCGCTCCATCAGCATCCTCTTCGTCGCTCCATCAGCATCCTCTTCGTCGCTCCATCAGCATCCTCTTCGTTGCTTCATCAGCATCCACCTCGTAACGCCATCAGCATCCTCCTCGTAGCACCATCAGCATCCTCCTCGTAGCACCATCAGCATCCTCCTCGTAGCACCATCAGCATCCTCCTCGTAGCGCCATCAGCATCCTCCTCGTAGCGCCATCAGCATCCTCCTCGTAGGACCATCAGCATCCTCCTCGCAGGACCATCAGCATCCTCCTCGCAGGACCATCAGCATCCTCCTCGCAGGACCATCAGCATCCTCTTCGTAGCACCATCAGCATCCTCCTCGTAGCTCCGTCAGCATCTTCCTCGTCTTTCCGTCAGCATCCTCTTCTTTTCATCAGCCTCCTCCTTATCTAAACGAAAAATCTAAAAACAAGTTAAGATTAGGACAGGAAAAAATAATAACGTACTCCTCTATCTTCTTCTTGATCTTCATCTCTTGTACCTAAAAAAAGACTGAAGAAGAAGTTATTTGTTTGATGGAAACAAACAATTGTAAGCACCCACCACTGCTAGAGTTCGTATTCTTTCACTGTCCGTACGCTCGACATGTCTATAAAAATGCAACAACAATATCATAGCAAGTGATTATGGAGATCGTGCTTTCGCATTGTAATAGTTTTATCATGCTAAAACATTGATATCCATGACTGTACATGATTGAACATGTATGTTAAGTGAACAACTCTTTGAAGATTATAAGACTCGTGGAAAGCTTATCGTTTGAACCGTGCATTGTGTTATAACACCCCTCAATGTTATAACACATGCAGTGTTCTGTAACATTGTCAAACGATTTATTACATGCGATATAATTCAAAAATACCTAGATAAAAACAAGATAATTAACGAATGTCTCATGCAATATATTCTCTGCTCAACTCTTTTCGATTTCATCCAAAAGGTTGTTTAATTATTTCGGTAAGGCACTAAGGTTTATAAAAGATTTTGCAACACTCTGCCCGCATGTTGCAATATCAAATGATTAATTAATTACTCAATTATATATTACAGAATATACAATTCTGTAATATATAATTGAGGTAATATTAAATTCCTCGTCTCTTCATGTGCATCCTTCGTCTCTTCATGTGCATCCTTCTTTTCCATCTCTTCCTTTCCATCTTCCATCTCATGCTTCCCCATCCATCTTCATCTTCATCTCCATCCTCTTTCCATCTCCATCTTTTCTTCCTTTCCATCTCCATCCCTCCATCTTTCCTCATCCATCTCTTCTCCATCCTTTCATTTTCATCCTCCTCATCTTTCCATTCCATTCCTTGTCTTTCCATCTGCATCCTTCTCCTTTCCATCTGTTTCTCGTCTTTCCATTGCATCCTTCTCGTCTTTCTATCTGACCTCTCGTCTTTCCATCTCCCTCATCTTTCATCACGACTCATCTCTTCATGATTTCCTCGTCTTTCATCTGATCCTTCTTGTCTCTTCATCTGCATCCTCCTCTCTCTTCATCGCATCCTCCTCGTCTCTTCATCGATCCTCGTGTCTCTTCATCCATCCTCTCCTCTTCATCTGATCCTCCATCTCATCCTCTCCATCTGATCCCTCCTTCTCTTCATCTGATCTCCCTCTCCATCCATCCTCCCTCTTCTATCCCTCTCTTCATCTGCATCCTTCTCCTCCTTCATCGGCATCTTTCTTTCATGTATCCTCCTCATTTCTGCATTTCCTTCATCTAAAAAGTACCTAAAATCAAGTTACGATTATGACAAAGTAACATACTTCTCTATATCCTTCTTGATCCTCCTTGTCCGTTCTTGATCCTCCTTGTCCATTCATTTTCATCCTCCTCGTCCCTTCATCTGCATCCTCCTTTTCTCTTTATCTGCATCCTCGTCTTTCATCTGCATCCTCCTTTTCTCTTCATCTGCATCCTCGTCTCTTTTTCTGCATCCTTCTTGTCTCTCCGTCAGCATACTTCTCTACTTTTCATCAGCCTCCTCCTCATCTAAACGAAAAATCTAAAAACAAGTTAAGATAAGGACAGGAAAAATAATAACGTACTCCTCTATCTTCTTCCTGATCTTCATCTCTTGTACCTAAAAAAAGACTGAAGAAGGAGTTATTTAATGGAAACAAACAATTGTTTAGCACATACCACTGCCAGAGTTCGCGTTCTTTCACTGTCCGTACGCTCGACACTGTACATGACTGAACATGTATGTTAAGTGAACAACTCTTTGAAGATTATAAGACTCGCGGAAAGCTTATCGTTTGAACCGTGCATTGTGCTGTAACACCCCTCAATGTTATAACACATGCAGTGTTCTGTGACATTGTCAAACGATTTATTACATGCGATATAATTCAAAAATACCTAGATAAAAACAAGATAATTAACGAATGTCTCATGCAATATATTCTCTGCTCGATTTCATTGAAAAGGTTGTTTAATTATTACGGTAAGGTACGAAGGTTTATAAAACATCATCGCATTTGAAGATTCAGCAACATTTTGCCCCCATGTTGCAATATCTTGTATACTCTATAATATATATTTGAGGTAATTCATTTAAACGTTTCTCAAGTGAATTACCCACTTTTATCTCACCTACTATAACATCACTTGATGCTACAGTAGTTCCTCTCAGGAGCAGGGACGGATTAACCAAAGGAAGCTGTCTAGAAGCCTCCACAAACAAGGGCCTTCACATTATTCAAAGGAAGAATAAACATAGTTGCTTTAAAGACGAAGGAAAAGCATTTAGTTTATTTGTTAGATCAATTTCAGCTGATGAAGAACAGACCACGTATGACAACGAATCACAGTAAACTCAGCCATTTTGCTCTGATGAGCATTGAGGACAATATTCTAACAGAAATAAACTTGGAAGAGCTTATCAAAGACTGCCAGAATAAAATCGCAATAACTACTTTATCTCAAGTAGCAGCATTCACTCGTCGTATGCAACCGCTTTACACGCTATATTCGAAGTTTATACTTTTATCAAATGCTTTACGAAATTTGAAAGTAAATTTTACTGAAAAATGAGCAGCACATTGCGTTTAGAGTAAGGAAAGGGATCTTTACTACGTATTTTGCTGCTCAGAGCCTCCACACATCTTAATCCGGCCTGCTCGGGAGACATAAAATATTATATCCTTTGTCACAAAGACAAAGGATTGAACTGCTATTTCTAACAATGGCCAGTTGTTAGAAATAGGCAAAATGCAAAATCATCACACTTATGTGAATGATAACGATGAATGCAAAAATGAAAATATTTTCTGGACATGTATTGAAGAGGTGCAATAATTGATGTCAAGAATAGTGGGAAACTTTTGGCAGTTTCGTTCGTGTTCTCACTTCAATATGTAACTGAAACTTGACGGCATTTTTGTGCTCCAAGATCGAAACATAGAAATACTAAGAAACCAAAGAAATCGATTATTCCTTCGAACAAATAGGACTCATAACGATGCTTTGAATATGCTGTAACGAGAATTCACATTACAATTGGGTTATACATTTTAATTCATCGATCTCAAACTTACATCTTTATGTCATCGACGATTTTTCTGTATTTAACCTGCCGCTTTCAAACATGGCTAAAATATCTCAACCGTGTCATGTCTTCAGTTGCTCGTCCTTTCCAACAAGTAGTCGCATTTCTTGAAGGCTGTCTTCGACTTTTAACAGACTTTCACCTTTCCCAGACGAACAGCTCGGTCAAATAGGGTTATCGAAGTGAAAGACCCTACCTTTTCTTCTGATAACTTTCATATATCACATGAATTAATTATTAATTCATTCGTCAATTTTGTTGAAACCCTGATAAAAAGGGATTAAATTCATTGATTGCATGAAAATATATGCAGGGCTAAGACAAAAGGAATTAAGCCTGGTTATAAGTTAACTAACGACATTGGTTAGTAAAAGAAAGCAAAGCCTTTTCCCCAGAGGTTTGGAGAAAACAAAAGAATATTTCTTTTGTTTCCTCAATGAAGAGTTTGCGAAATCAATGATTGTAAGGTTATGACGGCAGACAGAGCATGTCGTGTTGTGGTAAATTTTATCTAGTATGAACAAAAAATTATCTCACCCAAAACCGCAATTCAATGCACCATAGCTAGGAGAGTTATCATTTTTCTCCCACCTGACCACCTTTATTCAACTTGTTACGTCAACAAATAAATTAGAAGGCATATAAAAAGCTTGTAATTTATTCACGTGGGAATCACCCACATGTTATAGAAAAGCTTTGTCGTGCTCAATACTTATTATGAACATTGGAGCCCTGCTTATTGCAATAATATGACTTGCCATTGTAAAATGTAATGTAATAATTTAACGAGAGAATTTTATTGACAGAACTAAATGGTAGCAAGTGAAAAATGGAAATCTCCGTACAAGAATCTGTTATCTTATTGTAGTTTTCATTGGTTACATTATGTTTGTCTTTATCGAGCTTCCTTCCTTGCACATCACAAAGTGAAATTTAGGAAATTTACCTTAGAAATGGTACATCCATTGAAAAACTAATTTATGTGATTAATGATTTAATTGCAAAAACAAGTATTTCTATTTTTAGGGTTATGATCACACGTGTAATGATCCTGCAATGTTATATCGTGCAGAAACAATGCCTGGTTTAGGCTGGTGAGAATTTTTATTACTACAAATGATTTTGTTTACGCTATGACATCACGCAACAGTGACGTCATGCTACAATGACATCACACTACAAGCGCATCACGCTGCAATGACATCACGCTACAATGACCTCACGCTGCAATGACATCACGCCACAATGACATCACGCAGCACTATAAATGTATAGATAGTATAAACTTCATTCTATCTATTATTTCTCTTTGCATTAACAGGTTGCTCAAACGACGACTTTATAAAGAAGAACTTGAGCCAAAATGGCCAACCCCTGATCTCTTTTGGGATTGGGATATGTGGATGAGGATGGACAGCAACAAAAAGGGACGTGAATGTATCATTCCGGATATCTCAAGAACCTACCATTTTGGCGCCAAAGGCCTGAATATGAATGTATTTTTTCAAGAATCCTATTTCAAAAAACATACGTTGAATACTGAACCTAACGTTAAGTTTAATGTTGGATTGTTGAAAAAAGAAAATTATGAGAAGGAGATTGAACGGCTTGTAGGGTATGTCTTGCAGGATTTTATAAAATATTGACAACAATATTTTTCTTTTCACAGGACAATGAAGGAGATTTCTACTTAGTGATTCAGTGATCTAATTATCATCATAGTGCGTATATTTATGTCATTTGATTGTTGAGATGTCTATCTACTGTTTTTTACAGGTTGGCAGAGCCGTTGGATCACAGTAAAAATCCTTGCAAGAACGAGAAAGACTTTGTTCCAGAAACATCTGATAAAACATATATATTTTATATTGAAATGAAACATGCTAACGACTGGACAACATGGAATAATATAGCGAGATGTTTACGAATCTGGGACTTAGATGCTCGAGGATTTCATAAAAGCATGTGGAGATTATGGTTAAAGGGTAATCACGTGTTAATTGTTGGATCACCGGCTTCACCTTACGCCAAACATAAACCAATTAACGTAAAACCTATTTTCATTCCTAAAAAATCGGAGACTGCGTGATCATCTTTGATTAGAGATATCATTCGTTTATCATGCGGGATTTAAGCTAAATGAATGTGGGGAAATCTTGAAGTTTAAAAAACTTTAATGTAAATGTGATTGGATAAATTTTCATCATGGTTTGATCAAGGAAATGAACTCGTTGAACAAGGAATATAAGAGGAAAAAGATAACTTTCAATTTGTTCAGTTTTACTGTTAATAATGTAATTTTAAGGATTACAACCACGGAAAAGAAACAATCGCGCTTTTCCCACAAAACATTTACCGCATTTGAAAGTCCTGCTATCGTTACATCGCTAAAGATAATTATTTGAAAACGAACTTACCTCTCATTCTTTCCCTTTGTCCCATCCTATTAGGATTGCTAAAATGAATCACTTGCTACCATTTAGTTCTGTCAATAAAATTCTCTCGTTAAATTATTACATTACATTTTACAATGGCAAGTCATATTATTGCAATAAGCAGGGCTCCAATGTTCATAATAAGTATTGAGCACGACAAAGCTTTTCTATAACATGTGGGTGATTCCCACGTGAATAAATTACAAGCTTTTATATGCCTTCTAATTTATTTGTTGACGTAACAAGTTGAATAAAGGTGGTCAGGTGGGAGAAAAATGATAACTCTCCTAGCTATGGTGCATTGAATTGCGGTTTTGGGTGAGATAATTTTTGTTCATACTAGATAAAATTTACCACAACACGACATGCTCTGTCTGCCGTCATAACCTTACAATCATTGATTTCGCAAACTCTTCATTGAGGAAACAAAAGAAATATTCTTTTGTTTTCTCCAAACCTCTGGGAAAAGGCTTTGCTTTCTTTTACTAACCAATGTCGTTAGTTAACTTATAACCAGGCTTAATTCCTTTTGTCTTTGCCCTGCATATATTTTCATGCAATCAATGAATTTAATCCCTTTTTATCATGGTTTGAACAAAATTGACGAATGAATTAATAATTAATTCATGTGATATATGAAAGTTATCAGAAGAAAAGGTAGGGTCTTTCACTTCGATAACCCTATTTGACCGAGCTGTTCGTCTGGGAAAGGTGAAAGTCTGTTGAAAGTCGAAGACAGCCTTCAAGAAATGCGACTACTTGTTGGAAAGGACGAGCAACTGAAGACATGACACGGTTGAGATATTTTAGCCATGTTTGAAAGCGGCAGGTTAAATACAGAAAAATCGTCGATGACATAAAGATGTAAGTTTGAGATCGATGAATTAAAATGTATAACCCAATTGTGATGTGAATTCTCGTTACAGCATATTCAAAGCATCGTTATGAGTCCTATTTGTTCGAAGGAATGATCGATTTCTTTGGTTTCTTAGTATTTCTATGTTTCGATCTTGGAGCACAAAATGCCGTCAAGTTTCAGTTACATATTGAAGTGAGAACACGAACGAAACTGCCAAAAGTTTCCCACTATTCTTGACATCAATTATTGGACCTCTTCAATACATGTCCAGAAAATATTTTCATTTTTGCATTCATCGTTATCATTCACATAAGTGTGATGATTTTGCATTTTGCCTATTTCTAACAACTGGCCATTGTTAGAAATAGCAAGTTCAATCCTTTGTCTTTGTGACAAAAGGATATAATATTTTATGTCTCCCGAGCAGGCCGGATTAAGATGTGTGGAGGCTCTGAGCAGCAAAATACGTAGTAAAGATCCCTTTCCCTTACTCTAAACGCAATGTGCTGCTCATTTTCAACAGTAAAATTTACTTTCAAATTTCGTAAAGCATTTGATAAAAGTATAAACTTCGAATATAGCGTGTAAAGCGGTTGCATACGACGAGTGAATGCTGCTACTTGAGATAAAGTAGTTATTGCGATTTTATTCTGGCAGTCTTTGATAAGCTCTTCCAAGTTTATTTCTGTTAGAATATTGTCCTCAATGCTCATCAGAGCAAAATGGCTGAGTTTACTGTGATTCGTTGTCATACGTGGTCTGTTCTTCATCAGCTGAAATTGATCCAACAAATAAACTAAATGCTTTTCCTTCGTCTTTAAAGCAACTATGTTTATTCTTCCTTTGAATAATGTGAAGGCCCTTGTTTGTGGAGGCTTCTAGACAGCTTCCTTTGGTTAATCCGTCCCTGCTCCTGAGAGGAACTACTGTAGCATCAAGTGATGTTATAGTAGGTGAGATAAAAGTGGGTAATTCACTTGAGAAACGTTCAAATGAATTACCTCAAATATATATTATAGAGTATACAAGATATTGCAACATGGGGCAAAATGTTGCTGAATCTTCAAATGCGATGATGTTTTATAAACCTTCGTACCTTACCGTAATAATTAAACAACCTTTTCAATGAAATCGAGCAGAGAATATATTGCATGAGACATTCGTTAATTATCTTGTTTTTATCTAGGTATTTTTGAATTATATCGCATGTAATAAATCGTTTGACAATGTTACAGAACACTGCATGTGTTATAACATTGAGGGGTGTTACAGCACAATGCACGGTTCAAACGATAAGCTTTCCGCGAGTCTTATAATCTTCAAAGAGTTGTTCACTTAACATACATGTTCAATCATGTACAGTCATGGATATCAATGTTTTAGCATGATAAAACTATTACAATGCGAAAGCACGATCTCCATAATCACTTGCTATGATATTGTTGTTGCATTTTTATAGACATGTCGAGCGTACGGACAGTGAAAGAACGCGAACTCTGGCAGTGGTGGGTGCTTACAATTGTTTGTTTCCATCAAACAAATAACTTCTTCTTCAGTCTTTTTTTAGGTACAAGAGATGAAGATCAAGAAGAAGATAGAGGAGTACGTTATTATTTTTCCTGTCCTAATCTTAACTTGTTTTAGATTTTCGTTTAGATGAGGAGGAGGCTGATGAAAAGAAGAGGATGCTGACGGAGAGACGAGGAAGATGCTGACGGAGCTACGAGGAGGATGCTGATGGTGCTACGAAGAGGATGCTGATGGTCCTGCGAGGAGGATGCTGATGGTCCTGCGAGGAGGATGCTGATGGTCCTGCGAGGAGGATGCTGATGGTCCTCCGAGGAGGATGCTGATGGTCCTACGAGGAGGATGCTGATGGCGCTACGAGGAGGATGCTGATGGCGCTACGAGGAGGATGCTGATGGTGCTACGAGGAGGATGCTGATGGTGCTACGAGGAGGATGCTGATGGTGCTACGAGGAGGATGCTGATGGTGCTACGAGGAGGATGCTGATGGCGTTACGAGGTGGATGCTGATGAAGCAACGAAGAGGATGCTGATGGAGCGACGAAGAGGATGCTGATGGAGCGACGAAGAGGATGCTGATGGAGCGACGAAGAGGATGCTGACGGAGAGACGGGAAGCATGCTGATGGAGAACAAGATGAAAAACAAGATGAGGTATAAAAATTTTTTTATTTGTTTCACTGACTTGTAGCTTAGTGACTTCAGTCTTTTTTCAGGTTTATGTGTTTGTTTTTATTGTGTCGCTAATTTGTTCTTTGGCTATCTTTTAGATTTTAAGAAATCTTGGATTTTGAGAGAGCATATATACTCTGTTGAATTCGGCGTATTCTTACTAAGTCAGAGAGTTCCCTCGCTCTCTGACTTAGAAAACGAATTTTGTGGTAAAGTATTTCAAAGTAGGCTCCTGCCACCTATTTTGGAATAATGTTGTACAAATTTCTATTAAGTAATGATTTTAGAATAATAATGTTGTTTGAAAAGCATTTATGCCGTGATGAATAAATAACATCCATCGGTAGTTTTGAAACGACTGTCAGCTTAAAATATGCATATGTATTTAAATTAAACATGGTCACCATGCCAGCAAGTGTCAGCGTTTGATAAATGTTTTCGAAATACGCTTTTCAATGCAATATGGAAATTTGTCATCATAACGTGCACAAAATCGCTGTTTCGTAATAATATATACGCAATTTTAACAAATATTTAATGATGTTTGGGGCTGTTTTCATTCAACCGTAGCTATAGTGTGTTTTCTTTTGACGTCATATAAGCCATGTTGGGAGAGTACATGAGAGTGTCGAAGCTCAGCAAAGCATAAAATTAGCAGAAATTCTTTTCACTGTATGGAATTTTGCCCCAACATGGTAACTGATGAAAACAATTTAGAGGAAGAAATCATTAAGGTGTAAAATGATTTTTCATCAGCTGGCAATCCATTTGGGACTTTTCACAGTATTTTTAATTCACGAAAATTTACATAAAACGTACAAAATGACATACCTCGCAACAAGTATAAAACATGTGAAAATTGATCATCAAATTTACTGGCATTTCCCCAGTATAGTAGCGGCATCTTCTTTCATGTTTAGAGATTATTTTACACCTCAATGTTTTCTACTCTCATGTCCTTAGACCCAAAAAATTTACATCTGTAATGTAATGTATGATAAACTTAAGAATAAATTTAAGAGAAAGGAACTTCTCAAACGACTTCAAGTAATATGTAAGTTTTAGCAAGTAAAATGTTCGTACAATAAATTATAAAAAACAATCTCCAAACATTGTTTAAGATTTTTAGACATTAAGCTGGCTTGAAGACCACTGTTTTTTGCAAAAAATTCGGCAATTTCGAAGTGATGTATTTCGCCTCCGTACCTTCAATGGCGGCGCTCATGCAGGCTTCAAAGATGGCGTCAAGTTAGCCTTCCAGTTGTTGTAGAGTTCACTGGGTTTAAATAAGGTCGAGATAGATAGTTCACTATACCACGACGAAAAATTGCATGTAATTTACAAACTCTTGGCGTCACGTTCATTTGCTATAATAAAATTTACAATAAATATTTTTTTATTATTGATTGAACTATGGACGAATAAGAAAATTCATATCTAGAAATGACATGAATGAAAGGCAAAAGTAAATAAAAATGTGACTATTTTTGACCAATGACATTAGGATGTTGATAGTGGTTACAATGGATGATAGTGGATAATTATAGACATGCTTTCAAAATGGCGTATGCTGAACAATTTTATTTTCAGTCAACTTGGAGCACACTTAATCATTTTATGGCAAGAATAGGTAAATGTTGGCTGAACTGTATAAAATAAGGCGTTCAAGGATGCAATTCGGAAGCGTAAAAAGACTTGAGGCATATGCAAGAGAACTATCTTCACGTAGCAGACTGACATTTGTGGTGAATTCACTGAATTGTTCTGGAAGCTAACAGTTATTGGTTGTTATTCTGGCTATGTGAAACCAATCTATCTGCATGAGTTCTATCATGATTTTAAACAGCAAATCGATGCGTTGCGTATGAGTTGTATCGACCAGCTTACTACACAGTCAACACTTCACCAATTTGGAATTTGAAACATTTTGGTGATAAGAATTTTATACCGACGTATCCCTGCGATAAAAGACTCACAAGAAAAACTGTTTTGTTCAGAGTAAGGTAAAAATATTTTACTCTCTGATTGCCTAAATATTCTTTGAGTATTTAAAACTGGCTCATATAAGACCATACATGTATGTAGTTAATGGGATCTACATTTTAGCTAGCGTGTGCAATATTTTTATAAGTAAAACGATGCACGGTAGTGAGGTAACTTAGTGATTAAATGTACTTGAAAGCCGAGGGAGATTTTGTAGTAAAAGTCACAAGACTTGTAGCACCGAGGGACTTTAGCTAACCTGCCAGGGCTTTCAAGTGCATTTGATTGCCAAAATGTTTTAGTCAGTGCTTCACACACTGTTTATAAATTTGGATCTGCAGCTATTATTACCTAAGTGAAGATCTATTGATTGTCATGCTTTATTTTATCTCCATGTTTTTTATATTTTCACCATCATAAGTTGAACATTTGAGTTACCTTGCATGAGTCGTTTTACTTAAAATATGTTCTTTAACAATTTTGGTTCATCATTGTTTTTGTTTTCTTGTAATTGATTTTATTTAGTATTTGTTAATATTGCAACTAAAATATTAACTCGTTTCAGTCTCCGCTTGCTGAAATCAAGATGGCTTCTAACCTTGAACATTTCAAACATTACAACTCAATGGTTGAAACCATTGAACTATTTAATCAAGTTACATTTGTTTCATCGTGTGCAATTCCTCTTTATGGATATCAAAGATATAGACAGTTATTCAAGAATGAAATAAAATATAGAATGTTTTCATTTGTTGATTTGACATACAGATTGGTTTGTTTACCTCCCAAAATAGGGAGGAAATTTGTTCACAGCGAACATAAATGCAGTCTTTACAATGTTTTTTAGCTGTCTTGTCATAAATATCGAAAATGTTTAATGATTGATAATATTTTTAATTGTTTAACTAAATGAGTTTGTTTTATGCTTCATTAGAAACTGATGGAAGCTTTGAATAATTTTGGTCAAAACGGCAGATAAATCCTGGGGATGGGGATGAAGCTTTCTATGTTTACAGATGTATACCATTGTGAATTTATAATTTCATTGCTATCACAATTTATAGATTAATATAAAATTTTTGATGCTATGAGATGGTCTCATCAATGTGCAACAATTGAACTGGATTTCCAACTTCCTGAGAGATTCAACCTCACGCTAGGTAAGTTTTGCCAGTAAGCTTTTCGTTGAATAACCTCACTACGGTCTTGATACTTAATTTATTTAACCAACAGTGACATGATTATTTGTTTCTATAGAAACCTATTGTTATATATTTATATGCTTATATATACTATATACTTATATGCAGCCTGCTACATTGCTGAACACTGAAAGTCCCACCTGCATTCAAACTCGCCCGCAAACAAACCCACCCGCATATAAGTATATAGTTACATTTAATATTGCAATCAGATAATTGCAATATAATAGTTAATAGTCCATGCATGTATCCCTGTGCATCCATCCCCCCCATGTAAATATCATTGATAATGGCTCACAAACATATGTAAGCCTGTGTATTATAGTCAGAGGATTACGGCACAGTTTAAGTTTCCATGAAATTGTAGATCTTTACAAATTGTAACAATTTAGTAATTTATCAATATTCTATTACTCTATTGACAGTGGTGAAGGAGATATAAAATTACATCCTGTTATTATTCATCGAGCTATTGTAGGTTCAGTTGAAAAATGATTGCTATTCTTGCTGAAAGCTTTGGTGGAAAATGGTGAGTGTTTTCTTGGCTCATGCCAGAGCTTAAAGCAAATGAAATGTCCTTAAAATGTTAAATTAAAATGATACAAAGTTTCTTAATTGTTTGGAAATTTTTATCATTTTACTCTACTTTACTTTATTTCAAAATTTTGACGCACTGCATTTTCTGTTATTTTCTAGGATTTTATGGCTTTCTCCCCATCAAGTTGTAGTAATTCCTGTCAGTAGTAAATATGATGATTATGCCGAACCGGTAAATTTAATTTGGTAAGCCTTAGATCGAACTTGCACAGGCTAATGCAAACTCAGCTATGGACAAATTGTTGCTATTTTATGAATTGGAATTTTTTTGTCCTTTTTTTTTTATTGACATTTTGGTCATGTTTAGATTCAAAAGAAGTTCCATGCAGCTGGTTATCGTGTTGATACAGACTTGGATCACGGATCAACACTAAATAAGAAAGTTCGCAATGCACAACTTTCACAGTACAACTTCATTCTTGGTATGAATAAGTCTTTTAAATTATTTTTATTTACTGTACAAATAAATAGAAATTAAAATGGTTTGGAACCACTGTTGGTGTTCAGAGTTTACTGACGTTTCCACAACATTAGTCAGGTTCGCCGTATTTGTTCTCTAGACGTCATGACAGAGAGGAAAATATGTGGATGTTTTAGTTTGTGTGGTATACTTATTAATTGTTCGCTTGTAAGCCGTTTATAAGGTGCTGATATTTGTATTCTGTTCAATGATTTTTGTTTTGAGTTTGTTAACCTACTTTCTAACGTAAGTCGTTGTCTATAGTCAGTGCTGTTTGTAATGTTGTGCATTGTGATGCTCACTTGTCAGTACTCGTTGTTCTTGGTAGTCAGTTGATGTGCGAGTTGTAAAATGTAAGGTATTATCGTTTGCTGTTGTTGGATTGTTTGTTGTTTGTGTTTTTGTTTGTTTGTTTTGTGTTCATTGTCTTTTTAAGTGTTGTCTATTTTAAAAAAGCAAAATAGATGTTCATTTTATTACTAAATGCGATTGGTTAAATGGTTTTATGTTGTTTTTTAAACAGTTGTTGGTGAAAAAGAGACGGTCTCAGACACGGTCAACGTCAGAACACGTGACAACAAAGTACTCGGTGAAAAATCGGTCATGGCCGTGATCGAACGCTTGCGAGATTTAGTCAGCTCACGAAGTCTGACAAGCGAAGATTTTTTGAAGTAAAACAACATTTTTATGGTAAAGATAAAATGAATTTACTCACAAAAATAAATTTGAATGTAAATCCCATGATGCGTCGCAATTATAGAAAAATAGGTACGCGTACATGCCACTGGTCACTGGCAAACTGGCGGCATTGGTCACTAATACTTTATCAGTGGTGGTAATATTGATTTTATCGTGGTGGTAAATTCTTCCATTGGTAATTTATGGCGATAACCATCAGCAACTTTTCAACTTTTACCATCAAGTTTTCACTCAAACGAGATCGCTTCTCTTTCATATTTTGGCTTGTTTCTTGAGCTAGTAGGAGGCTGTGTGCGTTGATACAAGAAAAACTTTGTTGTGCAGAGGAAGGTAAAGATATTTTACTCGCAGAATTACTATATATTTATCAACAAAGTAGTTCATACTACAGCGATGAAAAATATAAAGCGTCGTATTTAACGCAAACCTTGGTTAAACCAGGGTTAGTTGACACATGTGCACTTGTATAATATGTCCAAATGGACATGTTTTGTGGAATTCCCTTCATTTGGTAAAATATTATCGCAGTGGGCCAAGATCGTCCCTCGTTTTGACAGTCATTTGCTATTCGTACTGGAGCTCTAGAATTTTACTGTTTTTAGTGGTAAATGTGACCAATTCCTCATTCGTTTTCTTGTTATTGTGTGATGCTTAACATAGCAAAACAAAGAGTAGCTATATAAATGTAATTTTCCTGCCACACTTACAAACATTTCATATGTCAGCTGCAAGACCCGTAACAGACTGTGACAAATTTTTTGTTTGGTGAAAAAAAATTAGCAATTAGCATATCTTGTGGAGTCTCCATTTTGAATATCCATTTGAGAAATGCTTGCAAGAATATGGGCTACAAGATTACAAGAATAGAATGCGGATTTGAAACGAAAGATTAGAATGCACATTGAACTCCAAAAACAATAGGAAGTAGGCTTTATAATGTGACTACAATTGACTACAGTTCATACATTGGTTCAATGGTTAGGTATGGATTAGGTCAGGGTTAGATTATGGTTAGTGTAAGTGTTAAGGTTAGGGTTAGAATTGTTTAAAAGTTTCTTATAAACGTAGAATTAGTCAAACTCATCAACACTTTGTTATGCCCCTCGTAATATCCGTGACAATGTTAAAGATGTTTTATTTCTCTTCATAACTTTGTGTCTGCATATTTTCTACATAAACAAACTGCTTTAATATTTATGACAGATATTATAATTCGTAGATCGAGGTAGAAGAACTGCTTGAAAATGAAACTTCCAACATTGAAACAAAATCAAGCATGGCAGAAGAGAAACAACGACGCCAGGTTGAAGATAGCTTGATGAAATTGAACGTAGTTGAAGCACCTAGCATACGCTCGAGAGTTTTGGATGAGGACTCGTCAACCACTGAAAACATGAATGAGTCCAAGCATGTTTACGACGATAAAGGCTCTTGCGAGGTAGGCTGTTGCGACATATCGAATTATCGATAAATATCGGGGGTTTTTTAAATATCGGTTTATCGATATTGGTTTTTTCGGTATATCGATATATCGATGTACCGAAAATATCGAAAAACTATGAAAATATTCGTTGTTACGATATATATAGTTATTATACATAGTTTTTAATTGTGTTTTGTTGGTTTTAATAGCTTTATAGCGGTTTTTAAATGGTTCTGTATACAATGTATTAGACAGACAATCTTGACCCAATCACACGTGCGGGGTAATTGTCGGCTAAGGTTCAATTTGATCTATTTATGAATCATTGCGAACAACACTACAAAAACCCCAAAATATCCGAAAATATATCGTCATATCTATATTTTTCGAAGCGGGATTTATCGAGCACAAAAGCGACGACACTTATCAATGGTGAAGGATTGTCCCTGTATGAAATATCTAAGTTATAAGATTCGGCTATGAAATGCACACTAAACGGCAAAATATGACGGAAAGTGGGTTTAGGAGGAAGGTATGCGAAATATGTTCTATCGTATGCCAGCAAAAACAATGTAAATTTCTTGAAACAACGAAAATATAAAAATTCAATCTCTGCCACGAATATTTGTTAATTTGTGCAAAATTGCCATTTGACCATAGCTGGTGTATGGTAATTTCCTCAGTAAATATTAAACTCATGTAAATTTTTTCTCCCATGACCACCCCTAAAAGTGAACTTTCGAAACACCATAAACACTACAGAATTGTTTGAAGATTGTTTTGGTGTCTGCTTATGAGAGGTTGTAAATAAGTTAATAGTAAGAGTATTGGCAGGGACCTAATAGCAGTGTCTGCTTTCGGGAGGTGTCCGTTAGTAGTAAAGTTCTGACTGATTTTGCTTATAGTTTCGTCTATAAAGTTTCTATAGGGTAACTAGTTTTTATAAATGAGAACAAGTAGTTGCGTTCTGTTTTTTGGCTTCTTCTGTGCTGCAGTGAGTGTTAATTCTGTTGAAAAGTGTTCGAATGTTGCTTATTTTGTGTTGTGTGGAATGATTACGGTTGAAATCAAGTATTTGGTCTGTAAGGGTATTTATGCCGTATACTTGTTTGTTTAGTCTTGTTGTGTTTTTTGTCTTTAGTGAAGGTTATCTTCTTTGTAGTATTTTTATGGTGTGTAGCATTTGTCCAGTTTTGGCTTTCTTGACTATGGCAAAGATATCGTCTTTATATCTATTCCATAGTCTGTCTGTTTCATCTGTGCTGTTGGTGACTGATTGTGTTTCGAGGTTTTGCACGACAGCTTTTGCGAGGAAGGTGTATAGTGGTGACCCCATTGATTCGCTGAAAGTTGTCTATAGTATGAGTTTTAGAAGAAGAATTCAGTGGAGAGGCAAAGGTTGAGTAAGTCTAGGATTTTATTTGTCTAGTTGTGTTGTTTGGCTATGTCTAATGGTATGGATGTGAAGAGTGATGTCACATTGTAATTAGATATCATGATTTTGTCTGGTCAATAGTTCATATGTATGTGATCCTGGAATTAAGAACAAGAATTGGAATGTACGACCTTTAAGAAAGTTTTTGAAAACATGGGAAAATACAATTCATCAATCAAGTGAGTTCAATAAGTGGGAAATAAACGCATGAACAATCTTTGAGATTTAGGTGCGTGAAATATAAGTTTTGGAATTTAAGTGCTTTAACTATAGTCTTTGGATGTTAGGTGCATGAACTATAGTCTTTGGGAGCTCTTTCATGAACTATAGTCCTTCGGAGTAAGGTGCATGAACTATAGTCTTTGGTAATTAGATACATTAACTATTTTCTTTGGTGTTAGTTGCATGAACTAAACTCTTTGGGAAATAGACGCATGATCTTATAGTCTTTGCGAGTTACGTGCGTGAAATATAGTCTTTGGGAGTTAGGTGTATGAACTATAGTCGTTCCGAGTTTAGGTGCATGAAGAAGAATTTTTGGGAGTTTAGTCTTTGAAGTTGGGTGTGGGAAAGATATTCTTTGAAAGTTAAGTTTGTGAACTCTAGTCTTTGGGAGTTAGGTACATGAACTATATTGTTAAGATGCACGAACAATATACATATATATAGATTTTATAGCCTTTAGGTGCATGAACTAAAGTCTTTGTGAAATAGACACATTAGCTATAGTCTTTGGGAGTTAGGTGCATGGAAAATTTAACTGTCTTTTCAGCATATGAAGTTACCCCCACGATGACACACACACACTATGATCAAACGAAACATTTTTCTTGCGAGCGCTTTATTAGCGATTAGAACCGATGGAACTCGATTACCATTTCATTTATTTCAACGGTGTCATGAGATCGTTTAAGTCGCATGAACTATAGTATTATAGAAATAGACGCATGAACAGTCATTGCGAGTTAGCAAAATTACTTTGTGCTCAGCAGTTCGAAGTAGGTGGCAAACTACTTTGAAACAACTTCACAATTTGCTAAAATTCTAATTCAAATTATATAGCGGGGGGACAATCTAATTTCATAGAAAAAACCAATTGTAACTGAGCACGAATGTAATTAAACGACGACCTTTCCAATTATGAAAAGTAAATATACATGCGCGAAAGCGGAACGTATTCATAACGCTTCTTCTTGTTTATAGACCAATGTTTCCAGTTTGGTAAGAACTGATCTTAGTGACTCCTTAGTGACTCTTAGTGACTCCTCAGTATAACATTACGTAATTTTTATTTCAGTTGACATATTCGTCGTGTTTTTTAAAGGCAACTTTTCAAACGAAGTTTGTGGATTTGGGTCATCCTCCAGTTGGATGTTGCTCTCTAACTATACCTAATTTATTTGGTCATTCACAGGTACACGTGACTTGTTTATATTAAACGGAGGCCTGGGCACTAGGTCATATTTTGCCATGTTATGTATTTGAGTTGTATCCACGCCTATTGATCACTTTATATAAACATTAAAATGTTTTCTTTTCTTGAACCTGAGAGGATGTGTTATGTTCTGAGGTGTTAAAAATTAACTGTGAGATTGAAAAGTAATTAAAACTACGAATAGCTTTATCTAAGTTCCCCAAAATGCTTTACTCCCTATCCCTACCCCCCGCCTTAAAAAAAGTGTATCGTGAAACATAATTGTTGTTTTTATAAAAGAACCGAGATGCTTTAAAAAAAATTCATTTTGTCTTACGGTGAATTTCCTTTAAATCAGGCAATGTCTGTTATTCTATGCAACACGAAACTCAACTGCGACATGGCAAAGGAACGCGGAATTGTCGCAGAAATTTTATCTTTCAAACATTTCGAGGAGGAGCTCAATTCACTTTTGGCGAGATCTTCACTAGTTTCTAGACAGGTTTGTGTGTCTATTTTTACGAGGGAGAGAGATTGGGCACTATTGGAAAGGAGAGGAAAGGGGTGGGCGGAGCTTAGCAACTAGAGAGAGGACACGGGACCTTTGAAAATGCAATAGATTTCTATTGTTATTCATGGACGTTCACGTCGAAGATGATGAAAACATTTACAGTTTCGAACTTTGAAAAAATCCCATGTCAGCAAATAGTAAAGCAGCATATTT